CTTCGACCTTCGGGATTCCAAGTGAGGGCTTGCCTTGTGATCCATTTACTTGCTTTCCTCACTGTGTGTCCTATCCACTTCCAACGCTTCCTCCTGATTTCCTTACTCTTCTGGAACCTGGTTTGTTTTTCCCCACAGTAGATTATTGTAGATAGTGTCTGGCCAGCGGATCTGGAGTATCTTGTGTAGACAGTAGGACTGTCTTGAAATTAGTATTAGAAATTCTGACTTTGGTGATGGTTGGTAGTTGCTTTGAGTTCCAGATGTTCTTCAGTTGTAGAATTGCTGTCCTTGCTTTGTCGATCCGTGCCTTGAGACTTTCAGATCCACCCCGCTCATCAGTGAGGCTGCCCAGATATGCAAAGGCTTTAACATCCCCCAAAAGCTTCTCCATCGAGTGTGGTATATATATATGTATATAATTTGTCCCTGAACCGGATTGAGGTCGTATAAAGCTAGAGTTTATATAAAAGCATAAGTAGGGGTGTGACAGCAACTAAATAAAGTCCAAAAACAGATCATTATCGAAATAATGAAGAGTTTACACAAGTTTTAGATTGGTTGGTTAGATTTGGCAATTGAAGGGTTACTTAATTGAGCAAGATTTGAAGGGGTTAACGTAAGTTTCGGGAGACAAATGAATGAAAATATATCTTCAGAGTGTATAGAATAAGAATTAGTTTCGTGGATATTGCATAACGAAATAAAGACAGATAAGAAAAACTATAATGACAACAACAAATAGTAAAAATTACAAAGGTAGCGATTAGTTGATCATCGCCTCTTTCCGGACACAGATCAAGTTTGATTTTTCGAAACGCTACTACTGCTTCAGAAACTCGAAGCGATGCTGCATCTTTTTGTCTGTTGGTGATACCGATGCATTGGAAAATGTTCACTATGTCTTGTATCAATTAAATGTCGGGCTACTGCACTGCTTAGAGTCTTGGAACCTCGCAATTTCAAATTCTTAGGAACGTGCTCGGAAATGCTAACATGTATTTTCAACCCTGTCAGGTTTAGGCAGTAACTACCAAAAACGAATGTGTGAGGTCGCGCAAAATTCTTAGACTAATCAGAGTTAGACATTAACACCGTTGGATACCGGCCCAGTGGTTCAGAGGTTAGGCGTTCGCGCACAACACCGAAGGTCCCAGGTTCGAGTGCTGTGAGGTGCAGGAGTTGTGGATGCGCACTGCTGATGAGTCCCATACGAGGACGAAACGGCTGTCCAGTGCTCCCAGGTTTCTAATGATGGTCTAACAATAGTTGATTGATGATTTCAAATGTGCGGACATATATATTTATAATTATTAATAATCTTTGCTAATTTAATCCCTTCGTTATCAATGTTAATTACTTTGCGTTATATAATACATTATTGTTACATTTTACTACATATATGATTGTAAGTAGTTGATGGGAAACCATGAGTATAATGCATTCATATTAATCCGCCTTGTTGTTCTGGCTTGCGTGGTGCAAGTCATCTTGGTTTTCAATGACGACGGCGTAAAAATCCAAGCAATGTCGATTTCAATTCACATAATTGTCTAGAATTGTATTTATTTAGGTATGATTTTGTTCCATGATAAACTTAGTGTCATCTTCATCCACCACCTTTTCGCTTACTGATTAGAGGATGTTTATCAATTTTTTTTAAATTTATTCATTTTTGCAAAAACTACCGTCTGTTCTTATTGGCAAATCAGTGAATATGAAACTTTTACAAAATAGATTTTAATGAAATCCGACCATATTATATACATATGCTGTTAAATAAAATCCTAACAATATAACAATTTTTGGATGCAATTTTAATTAAACTTGTTAAGTAAGTTAAGTAGAAACTTGCGAAGTAATATAAATAACTACCAGTAAAGATAATATTACTTAAGAGTAACTTTTATTTTGAAAAATGATGATTTGATAATTAACTTATAAAGTTGAATAAAAGTTAAGCTTAAGTAGATTCGATTCAATTTAATTTATATATCATTCTGAAAAATTTTAAGTCTCATGATATTCAGGTCATATTAAATAATTTGCAAATGAAATCGTGGTTAGAATAATGGAATCTAGACAGGAACAGTCTAATACTATGATGCTACTTCTTATGTAATAAATCAATATTTCTCTGTGAACTATTCTAGACTGTTAAAAACTTTATGAAAATAGTCATAATGACAATAACGAATAGTTTTGCCTTAAATAGAGTGTAAAACAAATTTTCATGAATTCAAACTAATTATCCTACCATTATTAAAACACATGGTGATCTTTATGATGTAACTTATTACTTTCCGAGAAGTCTTTGTATTATTTATCTATCGATCTTCAAGCAAAGTACATACTTAGAATATTCTGTCCTTACGAAAACACTCCATTGAACCGTTAAATGAAATCCTAAACAACAGTTGCATGCGTCATAAGTAAATACTAAGTTCTTAATTATTAGGTTCAATAAACTAGTTAATATGTGAGTTGAAATTCTTGAGAAAAAGTAAAATTCATAGATGTTATTTATAAGTACATGACTCAATAACTAGGACACCCATAATCATTCTTCACAAATCTGACTATCATTCATGTTGTCACTATCTACCGAGATAAGCATTGAAGTGAATGAACAGGTAAAATCAATAATAACTAATCTCATCATTTACAACAAGACGAATCAGCCTAGAATAAAAGACAAAATAAAACAAAAATTAAGCAGTGATTCATAAAATTACTCATATTTAGTTGAATTGGTTATGATTTGAAACAAATCAGCGTAATATGAACATGAAATAATTTATAAGATTTCTGGTTGGAAAATGTTGTAATGTCACATTGAAACGATATTAATTGATTGAGAGTTGAAAACATATTGACAACTAGAGTTTTATGTACAATGATTGTCCACTTCTTCAATTTTTCTATCGGTATTGTCTTAGCTTTCAGAACGCATATTCACGTTATACAGTGTTAGCTGCCCATTTAAGAATAATGTATCGACTTGAAGTAACAAATATCCATTAGTCAATGGCTTTGTGAGATCAACTTTTTTTTACTGTGAACACAAAGTCGGTTTTATTTTCTCAGAGTTGAAGAACCGAAATCGATAAAAATTAGTAATCACTATAAGAAGACTTATAACAGTATATATTGGTTTTATTTTTTCAATTTATATATATATATATATATATATATATATATATATATATATATATATATTCATTCCATACATCAAAATTTGTAAACCTAATGTATACAATCATTAATTGAGATTTTAGAAAAAATAATATAGTGAGAATTTAAACTAAACTTGAATGAGGAAATTATCATCATAAAGTCAAATTCAATTCAATGAAAACAGTAAAATTATTATTAATAATAATAATTATAATTAGATGAAATTGTTGGTAAAGTATTCTTGCTCGGGGAATTTTTTCAAAGAACATTGTTCACATAATAATATTAATAATCATAAACACAGAAGTAAAAGGGTAAATGAATGAACCAAAGAAATGACTTTTATTGTTCATATTTTATGTTGTAATTAATTTGATAAGATAAGAAGAATAGAAAAAAGAAAGATGTAAAAATTCAAAATGAAATTGGATGGAGTGTGAATGACAAGATGAAAATGTTTGCATGCAAACATTCATATATAAAATCTGTAAAATTTTTGTATAGTAGTAAAATGATATTTTCCAATTAAATTAGATTTTTTTTTAAACTACAGATGGAAAATGATTTCCTCATAAATGAAATATTGATTGAAAAGTTAAAATCTAATGAATAGTTTAGAAAAACTCTGACTGGAGGAAATATTAAATATTTGGTTGTGATAGTTATCGTATTTTGAATATGAATCTTCATTCTTAACTTTGAAAATAATGCGATTCCCCTTGGTTTTTCCTCCCTTTAAAATTTATTACTAGTCTTTCTCTCTAGATAAATTCATTAACGTTACTATTCGTCAAGATTTTCATTGTTCAACATGTGCAGATGCTTTTTAAGTATTTTTATGGAATATTCTTTAAAATAAACAAAAAAGTGAATATTATGATGTGTTAATAATAATTTAAAGGTATTCTACAATTCTATGTTTAAGTTAATATTGTTATTTTGTTACTAAATTCAAAACTAATAATACTATCACTAAATTAGTAAATAGTAGTAGATATTGGATGTGATTATTTTACTTTAAATAAGAAGAATTCAGAGGAATATGAGAAAAGATGATATAATTCATCTGTTATAGATAGATGTTTGTGCTATGAAAAAAAACTGTTATATATATATATATGTATATTATATCTTACACAGCCTTATTCATTGTTATTTATAGGGGTAAGTAATCTGTTGACAGGAAAAGAATGTCTTCAATTGAATAAATAAAAATATACCAGAGAATATTCACTTCATCATTGACAACAGTTTTTGTTTTCCAAATTAAACAGTCAAATAATCAAATTCTGAGCTAATGTATTTGCTAATTTGTTTACTCTGTTCATTTGTTTCGCAGCATTCATTCACATAAATTCTCACCTGTACAATCATACATTAAAGATTGTATTATTGTATGCCAATGAAATATGCATATTTAATTTAAACTGTATCACAATTGTTTTTTTTTTTACATTAGAACCATAAGTATCACTTGATAAGAGAATCGAAATTTTGTGTAAAAAATAATAAATAATGGCAATAGAATTTTCTAGTGGACATGTAATAATCATGATAATAACAATGAAACATGAATGAAATTCATGAAAGGCAAAATTTAATTCATTTATGATAATTAAGAAACAACAACAATACTTCTTAATTAATCATGATTGAATTAAAATTTCTTTTTTCATTTAAAATGTATATAATGAAGTGAATGAATGTATGTTGTTCAAGAAAGAGTTGAGATGATAACAGTAATATCTAATTTTTTCTTTTTTACTGAATTAACTGCATAAAATACTTTTTTTTAAATGTATGAAAAAAAAAATTCTGTAGAACTATTTTTCTTCATTGACTAATCTAGAGTCATTATTATCATTATTATTATTGTTATTATTATTATTAGTAGTAGTAGTAGTATCGTTATTACTGTCATCTTGAACATTAGTGTTATTAACATTGTTACTATTATCATTATTATTATTATTATTGTTGTCATCATCATCAACATTAGTATTAATGTTATTATTGTCTGATTTCATTTGTATTTCTTCATTATTCTTTGCAATATTCGTGGATGAATAATACATTATTTTATACGGTTGACTGGTGTATCGTTTCGATTGATTATTTCGTTCCATTAATCCAGATAGTTTACTTGAATAGCCAGCACGAAATGCATTGATTACACGAAGCTGTCATATTAATTATGCATCCAACACAAAATGCCACAGCAATATACAACCATATTGTTGCATTGAGTATTTTTTTTTCAATGTTTGCGAAAAAAATAGAAATTAAAAGAATAAAGAAATACGATTAATGATAATTCAAATAAAATTTTTTTAAAAAAAATAATGTAGTGAATGCATGCTTTAAAAATACATTAAATGAGCAAAACAATAAATCAACAAAAATGCATATGTATATGTATAGGTATATATATATATATATATGTTCATGAGTAAATAAATATATATCATGAGTTGCAACATTTATAAATGTATATATATATATATATATATGTACCTATGTACATAATATACAGTGTTTTGTTAAATTTCATCATCATGCAAAACATATTCTTTTAAACAAAATTTATACTTAATGCAGCATGTTGATATAGTTTCACATTCGTATCTATTTGAAAAAAAATGGAATTATACTAACTTAAAAAAAAACTCAGAAAATTTCATTTTGTCCAGAACAATCAATGCAAATAAATAAAATCTCTTCTATTGATAATCATCATTGTGATATTCCACTGAAATTATATGATTATTAATCAGAAAATAAAAACAAAGCATAACCAATTACTACATGCTAGGAGAATGTTGTGTATACGTGCAAAATGAAAATATCACAGTGATTGGGTAAAATGAACAAAAAAAGGGAAAGGAAGAAAGCAAAACCGAACAAAACTAAATGATAAGAAAATCAATTAAAGTTATAAACTATCAGCATACAATTTTTTTTTTGATAAGAGCATGCTTGAGGTTTTTTGTGACAATCAAGTGTTATCTTTATCTAATTTGAATGATCATTATAATTTAGATGACAAGTTAAACAATTTCATTGTTGAATTATAATGGGAATAAAACGAAACAATAAACTAGACAGATTGACTCAGTGTTAAGTATTGTTGACAGTGTATAATCAAAATATATTTTTTAAGTGTTTTCTTTTCTAAAAAGCTTAAATTAGAACAATGAATGCGAAATTGCGTTGAATACCATATTATAATATGTATAACAGTATTTAATTTCAATGAATTATTAATAACTGTGAAACAGTTGAAATTGGCTATGAAAATCATCATTAACTGACCAACTACTATTCTACTCTTTAAACTATTTATTGAAATTCAATAAATCAAACAAGATTGGACAATCTATTTTATATCAATCAATATAAATTATATTTAATGACGGGAGATATTCAACTCAAAAGGTGTTTATTTTCATTTCATGTTTTTTTTCAAAATTTATTTTGAATTGCGTTCTCTTATCGTCCATACTTGGGGCAAATTCATATACTTTTTGTCTACCCTTCAATGGACTCAAAGTCATTTTTTCACTCTGATACCGTCCCTAATACAAACATTTCACTTTCTAACTGGATTTATTTATTTAACTGTTATGAATTATATCAGTTAAAAAAAGAAGTATTCGTTTATGATTGTCAATACTGCTTCCTCAGTAGACGATAACTGTAACGATTTCTTTTAACTCATATATATATATATATATATATATATATATATATATATATATATATATATATATTAAACAGCAGTTTATATAAAAATAGTTTTCTTGTGCAAAGAAATACTAAAGTCTGAAAAAAAATTGAAAAAACTAGAATTAAGCCTACTTACTGTAAGCTCGAATAATAAATTAAATTTGTAGTCTAACCGAAATGAAATAAAAAGTATAAAGAGGTTCCAATGAACAAACACCGGGTAATTTCCGACGCCTTTTTTTTTCCATGGATGATTTTATTTTGAAAAGTGATAGAATTTTATGCCAAAATCAAAATGTGCTTACACATATTACCATGTGAACAACATAAAGTGAAAGACAACAATTATTGGAAAATAAAAGTTTTTGTATTATTTCAAGAAAAAACATCAGTAGGTATAAACTCAAATCAAACTGAAAATCATCAAATCTGTTTGTGTGAAATCAAATCACAGTGATCATGATGATGGTGACAACGTGATGATACTGATAATAGTAATAATAATAATAATAAAAATAATGACAACGACGTTGAAAAACAATTAATCAGAGGAAAATAAATATATCGTCACATTTAATATATGTATATAATAATATTTATATATTTTTACGGAGAGAAAGATGACCTACCCATCAATCGAGTAAAAATATAATTTGTTTTTTCGAATGCTTATGTTACATATAATTACTGATGATGACAGTGATAATGATAACAATAATAAAAAAAATTGGCTTTCAAGCATTCCTTTTTTTTTTGAAACATTTCACAACCATGCATAATAACAAAGAGTTAATAATAGATTGATTATTACATTATTAGTAAATTTGTGATTATTTTTATTTCAAAATTTAAATGTCTTGTTTTTTTTTCTCTCGGTATTTTGTTATTGCTTTGTTTAAAAATAAAACAAGAAGGAAATGTGCTTTAAAATCTACAGTGAAATAGTTGATCAAAAAAAAAGTTAAGCAACTTATTGGGAAAAAAATGTTTTCATAAATTTATTTCAAGTATTTGAAATGAATAGATTTATCAATAAAGTGTTGGAGAGAGTGAAGAGACAAAGAATTAACAGTTTTCTTGATACCATAACATACTGGATTTGAATTGGTTGAGTAAAACTAACAGTAATAAAGTGAGAGTAGAAATAAATTTTTAAAAAAATTAAATATACGCTGGGATACAAATTGATTTCTGAAAACAAATTTGATGATAAAAATCACTGTAATTGGTGATTGAGCAAATTTTGAACTGCTAAGCAAATAACTACTTCATCATTTATGAAATAAATTAATTTTAGAGAAAAATGATTAACAACTGATGATTAATTCATTTGGATGATAAAATTTTATATGAAGTAAGTAATTAATTTATAGAGTTTTTACAGATGATTCTAAATTTGAATGTTTATTTAAGATGTGGATGGTGATTTCACTGAGAGTAAAAAAACGAGTGATGTCTCCAACAGATACCATTTTCAGACTCGATTTATAAATAATATATCGATTTTCCTGTTATATAGAGTAAAACGTTGTTGCAGAACAATTGCTCATGTTCTCTTCAGTATTGTTCGCAGTGGAAACGTAAGGCTAAACAGTTTGATTGGTGTATATCACAGAAAGTTTAAAGTAAATCAGAGCTGTCTGAGGTAGTTGTATTAAATGACTGGTTAAACGGAGGTGGTGGAGCAGGCGGTTTACTTGGTCTCCTTTTTTGAGTAGGCGGCCGATTCGAATGTTGATTTCTGCCAACAACAACAGTACTCGAATCTTGACGCTCAAAATTATATGCTGAAGGATTACTTTGCGGTTGACGATTATTCTCCATACTATATGATGATTCTGGTTCGATGTAGCTCTTGTTTTCCTGCCCGCTTGAACCTTGTAACCAACTTGATTTAATCCATTCTTCAAGATCTGGATTCATAACATTGTTTGTAGTTTCCTTGGAAGTTTGAAGTACGATTTCTTCGAATGGTTCATCATAAATATTCCCTTTACATTTTGTTGTTGTTACTTCAGTAAGTGTACTTTCCTCATCATGATCATATCTTGGTTGACTAATATTAGCATTATTATTAGTATTATCGTTTTCAACGTTACTATCCTCATTCTTATTCTGATATTGTTGTTTTTCATTTATAGGTTTGTTAGTGTTTAACTCCAATACTAACAGTGGATGTTCATCTACAGTTTTTTCCCACGATTCTACTGGTGCAACTGGTAAAGCAGGAGAAATATCCGTGGAATCTGTCAATGGATGCTGTTTGATTTCTTGCTGTTGTTGATCATGATGAGATACTTGATATAAATTAAAATGATTATTTTCATTAGTATTCTTGTATAATTTTTGTGATTTTTTTCTTCTTTTCGATGTTTGTTGTTTATTGTATAAGGCATCTTTTGATGAACGATGGTGATGATGATGGTGATGATGCATTATACTTGCCAATTCATCTTCTGAATCTCTTCGATCTCGAAAAGCGTGTACAACTTTCAACTAGTGTTTTTTTTGTTTTGTTTTAATTAGAAAACCAATATGAAGTAAAATTGTTTTCACAAAAATATGAGATTAGACGAACAAAAAAAATTAGTGACAACATGAAGATATGTATATAAATTTCGACAATTAAGAAAAGAGTAAAATATCAATAGAAAACAAATAAAGCCGTTGAATAATATACCATAGTAAATAAAAAAAATCCCATACCGGAAAAATGAACAAATAATTTCAATCAAACACATATTCAGACACACATGAATGATATCCAGAACACAAAAAAATAACCACACACAAATGAAATTTCAACATAAGTTGACATTTACAACAAATAGGTAGAGAAAAAAAAACGAAATCGAGAAAGAAGAAAAGAAAATAAGCGTAATTTCTTAGTTTTCACGTTATGCATATAAATTAAATTAACAAGAATAACACATAAATAATATTAAAAACTTGCCTAGTAAAAGTCTATAGCTAAAATGCTATACAAATCCATGTTAACTTCAACGGTAAACTATGAAGTGAACGATCCTATAAGTAAGTATCATTTTCAATTGTATATAAATTAAATATTTTCTAGATTAAATTTCATTTGAACTGTATACTCTTGGTCTACAAATAAAATGCTATTCAGCAAATAAACAATGAAACTTAACCTGCTTTAATTGATAAGAAATATTTTTACTTGTCATTCATATTATCACTAATCTTTCCTTCATAAAATCTATCTAGTTCTGCTATAGTCAAATAAATCTTTCTGATGATCGAATGAAAACTGAAACAGGAGAAGAATAAAGAAAATCATCTACTTTTTTGTTGTAATTTACTGATCAGTTACTTGAACAATCTATCTATCTCTTACAGATAAACAACTCACTTGGCTTTTACCTTTACATTTGCCTGAGAAAAAGTTCATAAATGAACTGTTACATAAGTGTATGTGTGGATGTGTTTACTGAAATAATAACCTCATCTGATTTCATTTCAACGTTTATCACCATGTCATTTCTACAGACGTTAAAGACTTTACTTGAAGCTAATGCAATGACTATTGGATGTTATGAACACTATTACCGACCTGTTTTAACAGCAGTTATTCTTCTTGTTGATTCAATCATTCGAAACTTATGAAATCAAAATACTACAGTTCAGTTGATCAATGGTAACAAAACTTTATCTAAGGGAAAAAAATCGTATTTGCACTTTTTAAAATTCATTTATGAAGTTTATTATTGAAACAATTACTCATGTTGGGTTACCATATATATTGACATCTGAATAAAAATTGCAATATTTTTATGATAAGAGAAAAATTTTATTTTTTATTTAGTGATATAAAAAAATTAAAAAAAATGAGTTTTGACGAAAGAAGTTAATTCGCTAGCAATAAATTTTGGTTTAAGTTCAAACAACATAGTTATCAGATTCGTATATACATTAATTTTAGCTAAGAGTGATTATTTTATTCAACCAAACCTTTGATGACTAGATCAAAGTTACTTGCTGGTTTTCAATGCTAATAAGAAACAATTCCGTGTACCATTGTCGAACTATGAGTTTAAATACAAATTATCAATAGACTAATTATGATGGATGTAGTTATCAACTGTCTATTGGTAATTAGTAAACTACCATAATTACATCATGCTGTTATAAGTTAATAATAGTTATAAGTGATTTATTTCCTATTAAATATTTTTTCATACAGACATTTTGACAGATAAATATTATAACTGGTCATTTTTTCTCATTATTATGATTATTCGTTAATGATTAGGTTTAATTGTTTCAGTTATAATAGAATAAAACATGCAACCAATGATATTTGCTATTGAAGATGTTTTTTTCACAGAGACTAAAAGACAGAGTTGTATGAGAGATATGTTTCCTTAGTGGTAGTGATTAAGAGTTTTCTGTGATATAAACTATCAAAAAGCCAGCGAACTAAATATATTTCTCCTATGAAGCTTGTACGCTACCAAAAGGAATACAGACTTGTTTTGAACTACTAGCTAGATACTACTATATCAGAAAATATTGTATGGCGCAACATCATGTAAGAAAAAAAGAAATCAAGCGGTAAAAGACGTTGGAGTTATAAAGATGAAAAACAACCAATCGATACTACTTAGGATGAGATGTGAATAAAATTCCATACTTTGAATGAAAAAAGTATGAATTGACTAAACATTGCCTTTGGAAGTTAATAAATTATATCTTGGATTATGGAAAATTTGTTCAGATACAAACATACAGAATCTTAATTTCTCTTCGATGTATATACGTATAGTACATATGAGTAGGATGATTCTACCTATTATACTCATTATTAACAGTGATAATATTCCATAAGTTAAAATATTGAGGTTAATATGAAAACAAACCATCATAAACTATATGAATTAGGAGTAATTTATATTTATTAAATCCCCATCACATAAACAACTTGAGCGAATGATCATCTTTACATAGTTTCAAAAGGACTGTAATGAAATAATCGACAGAAAGAAATGCTAAAATCAAAGGAATGATAATATACTAAATTAAATTTAATTCACTGACTAGTAAGTATTTTTGTTTGTTTCATTGAATGTAATATGAGTATATATGTCTATATATATTCAATGTAAATAAATCTTTCTCAAAAATTTTTTTCTTGAAAAGAACAAGTAGGACAGTATTATCAAGTTGTAAATGGAATAATTCCATAATGATTGTATGCTATAATGTCCATTATTTATTTTCAAATCATACTTAAATGCTGAAGAATAAGCTGGATTAATAAAATGTATAATGGCAGTAAACATAATTATGCCAATAACTGTAAGAATATAATTATGAAGTAGTCGTGATTCGTATAATAAAGACAGAAAAAAAAACAATGAGAACTATTATAGTTTATCATAGAATTGATAGTTATAATTATGAATTATAATATTACACATCATAGGTGATTAATTTGTTTTGTTATAATTAATTAAACTAAACGAATACAAATTATATGTAAATATGTTCTTTCTAAACCCATATGTTATGAACATATATGCGTATCATTTGTATGTTAAGAGTGAAATTGGAAAGGGATTCAAAAAGTCAAAACCAGTAAATTATTGATGAAAACAATTTTAATGTGTTCGGTACTCGAAAAATGCAAAATTTAAAGATGAGAAAATAACAATATGTTCAAGAAATTGTACTGAATGCATGTAAATTATTTGAGTCTATTTGATATTGACTATTAGAAAAAAAACACTTTCATTTTGATTGTCACTTGTTTTGAAGTCTTTTTAAGCTATAACTTAGTAAATATAAGCATCCGATCTGATTTTCAACCTACCTTTGGCAAAAAGACTTGTTTAATTTTATGCTTTTATATATTAAACCGGATGATAAATACTCTTGTTTATATATATGTATAATATCTAATTTTTTCAGAAGAAAATTAACCCAAAAGAAGAATATCAGTCAAATGTGATGAAAGAGAGTTATTTTTTATCTAAGCCTTCATCGTATTCATGTTCTTCATCTTCTTCAGGAACCTCTTGTGGCGTTGTATGACGGAGATTACCAGAAACACTAATGGACCCACCTCGGTTAACTGATGTACTTTGACGACGAGCTGCTAAAACTAAGGGATGTGTCATACCTTCAGTATTAATTTGACTTAATGTAAAGCGCCTAACACTTCCAATCCATTCATCTGTGCGATTATCTAAATTCGGTTTACGTGCGGACTAAGTTAGGAGAATAAAATAATGTGTAATATCAACAATCACATCAAATAGCCAAGGGAATCGATACGTGCAGGATAATTCAATCAAACATTAAACGTTCACAATAATTGGGGATTAATTATGCAAATCAAATAAACATGCAAATATAAAGTTTTCCAAATAATGTGATTTTGTAGTTACGTAATCAGACAAAATGAAAGAAAAGTTTATTTACAACACAGGGATCAATGCGATGGGATGACCAATATCAGGAAAATTAAATTCAAAAAGGATTTGGGAAGAGATCGTATTGCACATTCAAGGTATTTGGAAACAATAGGGTTACGAATACAAACACACAAAAACAAGGTTACATATAAATATAAATATATTTATTCATTCATTCATAAAAAAAGTTATTACAAGACAAAAATTAACGATTGAATTCAGCAAACAAATAGTTTCAAGATATCATTAATAGAATATAAGTTTAATTATAGTTCAAAAAAAGTAAGTAGATTTTATGAATTTTCAAATATTCAATAAAAAAAGTAAGTATGAATCATAGGGGAATTAGATAAAGAAAAATAAAAAAAAATGGAATATAGTTTTGGTGCATCATTTGCAGGACACAAACGTAAAAGCATTCAAATGGAGTTCAAGGTCAGTTGATTGGGTATGGATTGGTGTACAGGATTTGGATATTATAAACAAAAAAAACATCGAACATAATCATTAAAATGGACATTAGATATATGAAATGGCAGTATATATATATATAAAAATGTATACCCAAATGTGATTAGACCATTTTTCAAAAACGATGATTACGTGAATTGTGCGATTCGAACCAATATATATGGTATATACATAGATATTTACAAATTGAAAGAAAGAAAGAAAGGACAGGAGAAAAAAAATATCTGTCAAGTTAATTAGCTTAACTAAATTATACAATGCCATTTCAATTGATTTTAATTTATAGAAAAATAATCTTAATTATGAAATTGTGAAACTAGTAATTAATTTGTAAGTATCGAACGGATATGATGAATAGTGGAGATGGGTGTTTTACTTAAATAAATAGAAATGTTTTTAAATGTTGGTGTGAGTATTAGCATGATTATTAGAACCTTTTAAGTTAAAAAAATCTAGCAAGTACTTTATGATAATAACAAGATAAATAAAGATGCTTTGTTTAAACATTTTAATTGTTATTGTTTAAAGTTTTTAGAGATAAACAATTCATTTCAGTCGTAAAATGGTAAGTAAGATGAACTGTCGTGATTTCATGTAGTGTTTTATTATGATCTTGATGTAGGAAATAATTTAACTTTACACAGCTGTAAGAGCTAAGCTTCGAAAACAATACATCAACCTCACAATGCTAATATATACCGATAGGATTGATTTTAACTTTAAAATAGACATTAATAATTTGGATAGCATATGATTAATGAGTCATTATGATCTTCCTGATAACTTTATCCCTTTTCAACACACACATCTCTTATTTTCATCTCCTCATAGTTCTACACTAATATGTTTCATGTCTGCTGGTGTATGGCTGTACACTCATTGCTTTATACAATATCCGTTTCCTCATGGTACTATCCTTTTAGTATTTCGATTTATATTAAATCTTGAAATCAGTAATATTTCAAAATAGATACATCTAGCCTATCTGCTTCCCCTTTCTTCTTTTGTCTGCCTAAAATAAATGTAAGAAATATAAATATTCGAAACACTTGTATTTGACTTTTTGTATTTGTGTTGCTATCGACAAGATTTGTTGCCATGCAAGTGGGATCCATACTTTGCCGAAATTATTACCGATTCGATCAAACTAAAGTCGGACTTTGAACATTCAGAACAATTTCATCATGTGACACTAACCGAAGAATGTGTGAGAATAACAAAGTTAACCCATGATAAATATGAGTTTTAAAGTTTAAAGAAACCGATCATTAAATCGCCATGAAGAAATAATCCAATGTAACTGATAACGTTTCTCCTCATTCAGTTTTTTGCAAATTATCGATTTCATATCATGACAAAAACCGATTAATAACATTACTGAAACTGTCATTTAAATTTATTCCATAAATAAAATTATTGAATTTTAATTGAAGAGGAAAAATGTTTTTTTACTTAGTCCTAGAAACCATAATTTTGATGTGATTTTTTAATAACATAGGAATAAACTATCTACATACATTTTAACACCACACCGATTCAATTCGATTATGATATACATACAAGGCTATTTCAGTTATGAATTCAAAATTGTTATCCATGAATTCATGCAGCGTTAACGTGACATCAATAACGATAGTGAATTTTTCATGTATTCAATGTGTTCAATTTTGTCTGTTTTCATAAAAATTAACTTATATTATTCGATGTTATATTTATACTAGACATACTAAGCTTGAATAGACTTCTTTTTGAGTATTAAGTGAATTTTATCAAAATTATCAAAATGTGAAAAATAAAGTGACAATAAATAAAAATATGACGACATTGAAAGCGATTCAAAATTGAATATGAAAGAATATTGAATCATTTAGCGTCACAGATTCCATTCATTTGATGCAAATAATTTCACTGCCATTAGAATCAATGTATCAATGTTGGTAAGTAAGAATGATGTTTCCAAGTGTAAGCAAAATATAAAAAAATATCAGAAATTCCGGAAAATCAAATCCATGTTGTATTACTGACAGAAAGTTAGCAATCTTTAAGAGTTTTTCTTTACCAATAAAGTGTTCAAGTGTAGACAGATAGATTAAAAGCACAACGAAAACATTTAATAAACTTGTACAAACAGTAAAAAAAAGACAATAATCAATAGACAAAGTCTGTGGTCATAAGATTCTTCTCTTGTTGAAAATCCATGCATTTCACAACAAAATACAACAAGTATACATAAGTAAAGAAAATCATGGAACAACTTAATTTATATAAAATAACAGTGACATGTGTAGTTGAATGTATACACTAAGTGTTTATTTTTGTTTTGGTAGCTAGCATTATTTGTATTTTTAGATTATTATTTGTTAAACCATTTCCTTTATTGAGAATTAACTATAATTTACGTAATAAGGATAATTGATTACAATCAAACTGAAATCGACTAACAATGTCACCTTCGTCTATCTCAATACTCATACATAGAAATGCAAACACACACAAACAGTAGTCATGAAAGAAATATTCAGTGAATCTCTTATTATTGTGTTTCCAAGCAAAATAATTCACAATCGATCATTGTTAGACTACCATTAGAAGCCTATAAGCACTGGACGGCCGTTTCGTCCTGATACGAGACTCATCCGCAGTGAGCATCCACGACTCTTGTACCTCTCAGGATTCGAAGCCAGGACTTTCGGTCTGATAGTGGTCTAACATTGATCGATTTATGACTTCACATGTGTAACTTAACACTCTTCACAACCCCGTGATGCAACTAGTTTTATTATTGCTTATAAATTATGCTATGATGATTTATTCACTTATTTGGTGGTTGTTCATTTATTTAAAAAAAACTATGTATTTAAAAATTTATTTATTCACTTATCACTAGTATAATTTAATTAAAAGTTTCTACATTTATGCATGTTATGACATAAATAATCATGTGGAAATTTTTTTTAGATTTATGAGATTTTTTGTTTACATTTCTGAATGACATAAAATCAATGTGACCTATAGGTGAGTTTTTTTTTAAGAAAAATTTTTTTATAAAACATGACAAAATAATTTTGTTGTGCCTGTTTATACGCTTTCGGTTATCACTTAAACTGTGTCAAAATGATTTTTTCTGTTTAATATTCATGGTGATATTCATTGAAAGATGACAAAACATCAAAATTTATTTTAAATGGTTTAATGCATAAAATACTTTAAATATTTTTTTATTTTCCTTATTTGAAAATATTATGCTAGAAGAGATTTATATGTATCTTAATTTCATCGGTAAAAAGATCGCTTGGTTTACTTAAAAAAAAAACTGCTTAATAGTTTCTGGGTTAAAAAAAGAGGAATACAATAAAGTAGATATATGAAACAATGTTTTATTTTAAGGCAATGATAAGTTTGTTATTTGGTAAAAAGTGCTGAATTTAATTTGTATATAACTAGTTGTAGATTAAAATATACGAGTAATAACTATGAAAATAATTATAGAAATGACGATTGGTTAAATCTAACAAAAAGAGACAGTTTAGAGTTCCTGTTCTATTGATTTCTCAAACTAGTTTATAAATGATTTTTTTTACTTTCAATGAATACTTCGTTTTTTTATTGAATTAATTGTTTTCTTAACATTTATAATCAGGATTATTTTAAAACAACATCACATATAACATAACTCATTCTGTAATCATAAGTCTCAAATTTTTCTTATAATTTTTTTCTGGAATATAAATAGTTATTTGGGTTCCTGATATGCCTACTACTTTCACTACCCTGAGAAAAATCGTACTAATTTCATTGGACTGTGTTAGTATAGCATGACACCTTGAACTAGTGTATATATATGTAAAGTGGTTAATTGCAAAAATGATTCACTAACTTAATGATATCTTAAGTCATATAGCTTATTTGCTAAAAAAGGAAACAAAACTTACCTGTGTTTGTAATCTTGATAAGCCACGAATCCATAATATTTGACCAGTCTTACGTAGATCTGCACCAACTTTATCTCCCCGATCTTCATCTTCCTCGTCGTCTTCTTCGTCGTCCTCTTCATCGTCTTCTTCTTCTTCACCTTCAGGTTGTGTATAAATGGCACCAAAACCACGAGCAACTGCATTTGCTGCCTTACTAACAAATCCTGTACTTGCACGATGAACCACAGTGCCATCTGCAAGCTGTGGATGTGCAAAATCTTGACTAACTAAACCATCTGTTTCTACTCCTAATACATCTTGTGTTGCAATCAATGTCAGACGTCGTGTTTTAGCTAGTTTACGTCTTCTCTTTGGAATTATCCATACTGGTATTGAAATAATAACCTTAAGTCAGAAATAATAAGTATTGAAAAAAATAAACAGAATAAATCGTCTACCAAATCTCGATTAATTTATCCATAAAGAAGTCATTTGAAAATTCAAGAACAACAACCATATCGCGTTTAAAAACGTATTGAACATCTTTATGAAGAGTAATTATTGAATTACTTCAATTCATAGAATTTACGATGTTTCAGCAAAATATTTGGGCTGAATTTCTATTTAAATTATACATTATTTTATGAAATTGTTGATAAGTTATAATTATAATAATAAAAAATAACATCTATAAAATTTTAACGAACCTGACCCCAAAGTAGAGTACCTATGCCAAAAAATAAACACCATAACCAATGTTCTAAAGCTAATGGTTTTGTACTAAATGCATATCCACCAAATTGGATAATGATAACCTGTTGAAAAAGAATTCAAAAATATGAAAATCTTAAACGGTATTTGAATAAAGAGTGTAATAAAAGAAAAGCAAATAAATTGGTGTGTATGATTAACAAGAGGATTTTTCATTATAGAGTTATGGAAATTGTTGTTTTACATTTAAATCGTGGACCGATCATTGTTAGACCACTGGTCATTATGAAAATCATAAAATGTGCTCACTAGTAAGTAGCTTCATGAGGGAATTCTCGGAAGTCTAGTGCGTGACCGTGACCAGTGGAGTTCAACCGTGTCGGGTGTAGGTGATAATTACAGAAGACAATGGGTGAAGTTGTGAAAAGTCCTTAGGTAGATCAAAGTTTGACATTAACACGATTGGCTCAATGATACAAAGATTAGGCGTTCGCGCGCGAGACCAAAGGTTCAGGATTCTATTTCCGCGAACAGTGGTAACGGATGAGCACTGCTGAAGGGTCCCAAACTGAGATAAAACGGCCGTCCAGTCCTTCCAGGTTTCTAATGATGGTCTAACAATGATCGAATCATGACCTCAATGTATATAAAAGAGGATATTTATTTTATTATGTGGTAAAAATAATCCCTAAATTATTTAGCTAGTTGTTTTTTAGAATTAGTAGTTTTCATTTGAAATAAATGTTTTAGTTTTTACATTATAAATAAAAGAGAATCGTTGAATCTAAAAAAGAGATATCCGCATAACTTTAATTATATGTGCACACTGTGGTCTTAAATTCGCTGAAGTACATTGAATATCCCACACTTTGTTATTTTAACCGATATATTCTGCTGTAAATTTTACTTTGTACTTAACAAATTCCATAGACTACAACTTTTGATTTACAAAAAGTTCACAAGAAATCTTCTGAATTGTAAACAATGGATTCATTTTCGAAGAGATTTTCACAAATTGTTTAATCCTGAATAAATATGTTAGCTTCTTCATATCAAAAGAAACTAGATTGAGAATATGTTCATGGTTAAACCTAAACGTTGAGCATTATCGTTTTTTAGAACATCGATATTATTTTTTTGATTAGCAATAGTATTGTAAAGATGACGTAGTAGCGAATCTGAATATTAATAATGTAACAACTTTCGGGTTTTTATCAAGGGGTTACTAAATATTTTCTGAACTTAAATCAACTAGATAAATGATTAGTATCTTCGGGCTTGACAATACATGTACACTCAGATATTTATCGCTAGGATGTTAATTTTTTTTTAATGAAATCGATTCCAAAATATTAGAAATAATGCAAACGTAAATCAGTCATGTGAATAATGTGTTGCCAGAACTACATAGTTCAAGAAAAAAAAAAACTGAAATTATGTAATGACCTGTATTATTTTTGTTTTAACGTAAAAATAAACTATCGCAGAAGGACAACTTTATTTAGGTTGTTAAATTATTAATTTCTTATATATAAACTGCTCAAAGAAAATGTTTTCATTATATATTATTTAGCAAAGTATGCATTTCAATGAATAAACACCGCGTTGCATTATATGATAATATATTCTGTTGTATCTGAATAAAATATTGGCATAGCTATTTGTTATATCCTGGAGACACACCTACTTACATGCTTCTTTATAACTGAACATGGACTGATATGTTTTAATGCATAAAAGGAAAAACGACTGTGTATGATTATTTACTTATACACCTAATACAAATTTAAAAACCGATCTACCATGAACTCAGAAACTATAACACACTGACATTAAACTTCAGGCAATTTACTTAACTGGTTAAAAAATAGTCAGGTTTGAATAGATGGAATTAGACAGCAGTTGACATTAGTTAATCAATAACTATATGCATTTGCACAGTTAACAATATGAACAGATTGAACTGAGTTAACGCTAACAATCTCAGAAATTACTGACCAAATGTTTTATACTTACAAACGTTTTTTCATATATGTCTTAAATATTACTAGTATAATTACTTATTAGCTACAAATATTATCGAGTTTCCTTTGTTGTACTGATGTCATTAAGCTTACTGGTCTGATGAATAATCACATCAGGTGTTACATTTCTTATAACTGACTAATGTGATGATATAGTTCTGTTTTTTTTGATAAAACGTTTGACGGTAGTATGATTAAAGAAGTATTAGTACTGTTGGTCGTCGTATAAGTTTAATAGAAGACAAAAAGCTGCGTATTAATTTCCATTTAAAGGAAATGGGATTGCGAATACCTCGAACTGTCTAAAGATATGAAATAGATTCAGTGCACTGAAGCGAATAGGAGTCTAACCTGTATACCTAGTTTCAGTTTATTACTGATAAACATTAATCTACCATGAACAATGGTGAATAAAACATTTTGTCCAAATAAACATAAGAAAGATGAGTTTTGACACTAGTATGTTAAGATAAAACTAGGTATACTGCTTGGACAGTGATATAAAATGAAGTATGAAAAGAAAAGATACACAAAGCCAATGAAATCATGATTTGAAAATTACAGGGAAAATATACCTGGAGGTAACTAAAAAAATTCATGCCACTCTGCTACTTCACTTAACTTTGAGCCATAAGCTTTAAGATCTTTAATCGTAAATAATGTTATTTTCAAACTAAAAATGAGAGATGCGTGAAATTCGATTTTAAACATAACTATTTTAACAAGTGAAGTATAAAACTACGCTCTAATGATCTAGTGAATTAAGAAAACTAATCTTTCACTGTCACATATATTTTCTGGAGAGGAATCAGCTTACTTGTAGTAAAAATGTTGAAATCCAAATGATAACAAACAATAAATTGTTAGTTAATCCAGCGAAAATATTTCGTTGTCCATGTATTTTTCTCGCATTAATTTCATTGAACAATGTCATCATAACAAATGAATTGAATATCACAGTAAAATGTTCTGTTGGACGGTTTATACCTTTAGCAGTTAAACCACGACCATTTTCCACATCTAACAGTAATTCACCTATGAGAAAATGTTCATTAGCATATAAAAAATGAACAATTTAATATATATACACTTTATGATGTATTCATAATTAAATAAATATAATTATTTAAAAATGATTATTGCTTATAAGACATGTGGTATGGCAACATGAACTGATGTACTTATGTACAAAGTTCTACGTTGCATCTGACCGCTTATAAGACAATGAGATTTTGCTAATTTTATCTATCAATGTAATTTATGAGGTTGCTAAAAATGCATTGCAGCCATACAATTCACATATGGAATAGAAATACCAAGAATCTTGAGATATAAAACTATTACAATGAAGTAAAGAATTAAAATTTGCATGTAACATTTTGATTTCATTTGTTTAAAAGAGCATGCCTCAAACATTCACTTCTTACATAAACAGAATCAGCTGTCAAATCATATAACTATACCAAATATACTATTAGCGTATACTTAAAGCATATCTTGTATTGCTCATAAACTTGAACAAAGTAGTTTTAATGAAATACTGAACAAAATTATTTAGGTAGTTAGAATTTACTCTCCGTCAAGTAAATACATTGAATATCGATTAGTTGATAGACAATTGTGGGCGTGAAACGATTTGCTAGATTTAAGCATTTACCATTAAAAACGGATTTGAAGAAAGTTTACATAAATAGATAAACTCTTAATTTTGGATTCTGAAATGTTAGATACACCATTTCATTTACTTTTTCCTAACCACATGTAATACAATATACAAATCCTGTTTAGATAATTTCAAAATAATTACTGTGGAAGAAAGCCAATCACGGACAAATATGTTAGCAATTTTCTTTGAAATAAAACGGAGTAACTTCTTCAGAAAGTAGTTAAACCACAGGATATAAAATACAGTAGACTAAATTATAACGCATTTCTCATAGATGAGAATAATGTTTTCCATTTCGAAATAATCTAATTTAACAGCAATAACTTCATTTTCAACAAAGAAATCACAAACATTTTAAAGAAGTGACTTCATGACTTCATTTCATTTTCGACGTTTAACTACTTTAAAATAATTTCAGTACTATGAATTATAACAGACAAAATCTATTGGGATTTATTGATTATAATTACCGGTTCAGTTCAAGTACTGTTTTAACATATTGTTTTCTAGATTTAAAGTAAACATTATTACAGAAATTAAATGACATTGTATAAATAAGTGTTTAACATACCAAACCATATAAGGAAGAAAATAACACTTAGTTGGTAAATAGACTGTCCAAGGATATTTTTAATCATATTACGATTGATGATAGGCTTTGTTCTACCATATGGTGCCCGTTCAAGTAACTCTTCTGTGGGTATTTCAGTTGCCAAGGCTAACGAAGCTAAAGTATCCATGATTAAATTGACCCATAACATTTGGACAGCTTTTAATGGACTATCCTGTTTAAAAGACAATGACAATGTAATCGTAAAAATAAATCATTTATAAACTTTAGATAATTCAGCTTGAGTACATTCACAGATAAATAAAAATAAAAAAATGTAGCTTTCAGATAGAGATTTTAGCTTTGTATAATGTATACAAAGCTTTCTTCACATCTCTTTACAAGTTGTTAAAATTATATAAAGATGGAAAAATTGTATATCTCAAGAAACAGCTTCGAATTGATAGTCAATTAAAATAAAAAGGTTTTCATTAACTACATCATCAGAAAAATTAAAAGAAAAAAATTGTCCACTAGCATCATTTCTTCCGTTTCCTTGCCACTTTTTCTAATGAATTCGGATTTGATAATATCAAAATAGTAATAAGTTCAGTATTGTTTTTTTTCAACTGATTCGATTAATCCATAGTAGCCAACCATTTATCTGCTTGGATAATGAATAAAAGTTGCATCGATATGCCTAATGACTCTAAAGTAACTCAACTCCCCAAGCTCCCAAAAATCCTTGATCCATTTTACGCCAGGTCTATTCATGATTTCTATCTTTTAGCATTTAAATTTCTTTGCACGTATATCTAGATATATTGATGCGAAGCAAGCTGAGTAACGATGCATAATTATGCGTACAAAAACAAAGGTACTTACCATTACGTCGAATTTTTATGTTAACTACTTTTTTAATTTTACTGTATCTTTTAATTTTTCATGAAAGATGAGCTACTTCAGTCTCAAAAGATGTTGGTTATTTTACTGTAATCTCTAAGACGCTTATCTTATGAAGTTTATAGACTCATTTGTTGATATTTTGGGTCATGTAAAAATTGATGACTGACATGAAAAATAAATTTCCCTGATATTATTCATGTCTTCTTTTCATAAAATGACATTCACTACACAACTCATCTCATCTGTTCATTAAATAGATATGTTGTGATTGCTTTATTTATCCAATGATACACGTTTCTTTACTATGTGTTTTATGCTATAATGATTTGTCATGTTTGTAGTTTTAAAATCTGTCACTATGGCATCATTCTCACTCTACTTTCATTTTACTTCTTTAGGCTTAGTACTTTTGTTCATCTCACAAGAGTGTTCACTATGAAAATAACGTAACTAATCAACATATAGGAGATTTTAAAGTTTTTGTTTTTGATGTCTAAAAAAGTCTTGTTCATTACTGGATACGAAGTCTAACCGTAATCAATAATAAACGATAACTTACACTTATATCATTTTAGAAAGGCGTAAACTTTATTTCAAACACTATAAAGGATAATAAACGTATCCAACTAACTTGTTTAGACAATATCAGTAAAGTGTTAACTAATTTTATCTTCCTAAACAGTTGTATATGATATGGACATTGGAGAAAATCCTTTGAGAATAGTACGCAAAAGCAATATTAAATAATTTCTTTGAATTATTCTTCATGTAGATAATGTCGTAATATAAACAACTTTCATTATTTAATTTACTTAAATTAGTGTGATATTCTTGAATAAAATCTAATCTAACATAAATTTCATTTCAATTGTGTTTCAGCTATAGAAATACTTTAAGTATACCTTAAGCAAAGATCAGATTTATTCATTTTACATAACTAATAAAAAATTCGGAATAAAATACCATACTACTTCATTATGGTATAGCAAAGTTGTGAGTATTAGATAATTGGCTTTTTCAAATATTCTTTCCACATAAGTTAAACTAACAATGAATCTTGAATAAGTTCCTAATTTAATTTAATATGTATATACAGTTGGCTTTTTTGTTCACATCTGTAACCTTATTTATCAATAGCTTTGTATAAGACCGAAAGAATGAACTTTCATTGTCAATTATATATATTGGATATGATCTTTTTGAGTATAATTTTTTTTAGAAATCTAAGACTATTTCCTGAATAACTCAAATTATTCGTTTTTTCTCTAGGATACATAATAAAATGGAAATTCGGCACATATTAGTAATCAAATATAAGCAATTCACTGAATGTTGATTTTCAATAGACTAAATAAAGGTTATATTTTAAAAATAACTTACAGTTATAAGACATGCACCGACAAATGCAACTATAATGGCCACCATGTTAACTGTTAATTGAAATTGAAGAAACTTTGAAATAGAATCGTACACATTTCTTCCCCACATAACAGCTTTAACAATACTTGTGAAATTATCATCTGTCAATATGATATCTGAAGCTTCTTTTGCAACATCTGTTCCTGCTATACCCATAGCAAAACCAACATCAGCTTTCTTTAGTGCAGGTCCATCATTTGTACCGTCTCCAGTGACAGCGACAACTTCACGACGAGTTGAAATATGACTATCTATAATTCCACTTACTAAAGTATATTTATCTTGTGGTGACGAACGTGCAAGAACTCTTAACTGTGGCCATACCTGATCCATTAAATCTTGTCTTACACGATTTGTACGTGGATCACGAACACGAGCATTGAATTCTTTTCCTTCTAACACAATATAATTATCACCTGGTTTAAGAATTCCACATTTAGCAGCTATCGATCTTGCTGTGTTAACATTATCACCGGTTACCATGCGTACAGTGATCCCAGCACGTTGACATTTTCGTATAGCTGCAGGAACCTCTGGTCGAACAGGATCTTCAATTCCAACTATTCCAATACAAGTTAAATCAGAGACGATAGCATCTTCATCATCAAAGTCAGGTGTCTGTCCACGATTTAAAGGAACCTCATTTGGAAGTAATCCAACAGCTTTGATAAGATAAAAGATTAAAGAAAATTCTTGATAATATTTTAAATAATAATCTTAATTATTTGTGAATTCGAAATTTCGAAAACTTTTTTTATATATATGTTTTTCAACATTCGTTCCATTCTTCAATGAATTTTATTTGTAAAGATACACGAGCTAGTGAGTCACTGAAGATCACTAAGAAAATTAACAGATTCCATGTAGGTCATTAACTTTAGAAAAGGAAGAACGATATTATTGACACACTGCAATTAATTTATCATAATTCGTTGTAAATTCCTCAGATACATATAAGCTAACAGGTTTAGTTATTTCCAATTATAAATATAAACTCGGGAGAAAAAAATTCATATTTCATTAATATCAAGCACTCAATGCCAGTCACTTTTATTGTATACTTGTATAATTCAATAAAACACGATACTAAATGAAACAGGACATGTAACATTGTTGTCACAAATACTGTATAGGTATCATTTACGTTCTGGTGATATTAACACACTGGTAAAACTAGAGAAAAAACAAGACTGATCAACATACAACACTTAACAGTTTATAAAATCTCTATTTATTGGTTATAGTCAAAAGTGACAAACATTGAAGAAAATAGTAAATTTACTGATAATCTACATCGCTATAAACTGTTTTTTTTAAAGAAAATATTTTTGAATTTACCCGGTTAAAATGACATACAAAAGATATTCATCACAAACATCTTTTTTTTGACTAAGTTAATCTGTTTAACTCTTTTTCCAGTTTGCAAAAATTCATTCAGCAAAGTTATTCAATCAAAATCGAAACTGTCTGTACATTGAGACTTTGCTTTATGAAGAGAACTGTCTTTTCAAACTAAGCCGAAGTAATATTATATCCTAGGTTTGTTTTTTAAAACCTTATTTGACATTTCTGCATTGTTCAATTATGATAATACTATTTTAATCATTTGTCTACGAGAAGAAATCAAATATATTTGATGACATTTTCTAATTGTTAATAAATGAGTCATTTAAACTATCAAGCTATCAGTTTTTCTTGCTATCTAATCTGATGTCGGCATTCATAAGAAGTAGTCATAAAATTTGAATTAAAACAAAGTAAACAGAAGTTTTTTAAATATTCAAACTTGATCACAGAGTTTGTTGAAATTTATTGTATTAACTATAAATTGTCATGAATTCTCAAACACTTTTTCTATTCAAGTTTAGCTTTAGTTTGATATCTAAAATTGATTTGCAGGAGAGATCGGTCAAAATTGTATACTTCATGATGATGAAGTTTAATAATGTAGGACGTTAGAAAGCTATCACCTATGGCAATAAATGACAGACATACAATATGTACGAATCAAGTGAATCTAGAAATATCGACCCTCCAACATGATTTTAGGTGAGTGTGCTCATCATAAGACATTAAGCCCACGCTTCCACTCCTAATAGACGAAGAGTTCATATTAATGAGAATTCCTCTACTACGATGTAACAACTGTTTACTACTTCACGGTGATTATGACTATTTTAACGATGAATACTGTTTTAACTTAGTGCAAGTTCATGCTCTGTTAACCCTAGTTTCTTCACACGAGAGATCTTCAAACAAAAGATATGATTGAAGTTTAAGTACGTGACAAATTCTTCGAACGGACACTAAAAGCTCATTTGTGTTGTATATCTTGAACTGACCACGACAGTGATATCTGTCAGTAAATAGAAAAAAGAAGATGAATAAATTCCATAACTCTATGAGCGAATACCAGTGTTTAAATACTAAGGTTATCTACTAGCAGCAACTATCTGATTAAAGTCAGTTTTCAGGAAGAACAATAGAGAAGGTTACCGGCAAGTGAGACTTTTGGTACTGAGCAGGAAATTTTAGCATATTGATGGGAACCTTTGTTAATTTCTTTGTTAGGTGGGCTTTATATATAATCTGTTTAACTAATATTTACTGTGATGTACAATGCTAGATAGTCTGAGATGTAACTTAATCAAGAAAAGGAGCTACCAAAATAGTATAAGTCATCACTCTATAAGGCTATTGGTGAGAGGCTTTAAATGTTACAGTCAGTCACAAAGACTAGAATATATTACTTATCTTCCTTTTGAATACTCAGTTAAGAATTGCTTCATATTTCTCGCTATAAAGTTTAATTTGAATTTTAAAAGAAAGTTGGAGAATATTTTACTTTACAAAAACTGAATTATGCATGTTTGATTGACTAATACTTTCAGTTAGACAAGAATATAATATGTTAAATAGAATAAAATGATTTTAAAATTAAAACTCTTATCTAAAGAGAGATAATAATGTTAACTTACCAGGATCTATATAACTTTTGTATGCAATACCTATAGTACGTAATCCATCACCAGCCATTTGTTCAATGACATCTCGAACTAAATTATCTTGTTGAGCTTTAGTGAATGGTTTAGGTTCACCATTAACATCTAGGATAAAGCTACATCTGAAATTTTCAATGGATAAATAAACAATCAAATCGATTATTGAAGAATGGTATTTTAAATAGGCAAAGTATTCATAAACGTACATACAAGTGATACTTTGTGTAAACTGTCTGAAAAAAAACCTTTTAAAAAAAATGATTTAAATAAACATCTGATTGAGGGTTGAAATAAATAAACTATCACTTATTCATATGAAAACCGCTATTTTTCAACAAAAAATAATCAATTTAAAGATAACATCAAAAAATCTACAAATTTAAAACTCTGAATTAAATTGCTTGATGAACAGAACAAACCGAAAATCGTATCACTTAAGCTCCAGAAAAGCAATCTAAACAGAATGCCCTAATAAAAGCACTCAGTAAATATATATTGCAACTCATTCTTCAAAGTCACTAAAACGATTAATTACCATAAAATTATTTGTTAGCAGGACTTGTTACAGGCTGACTTTAGCAGAAGCTACCAATGTGACTGTTGAACAGTTGACTTTTCTTCACTAAGAATCCAAGTTAAAAATTTCATCTTTTGAGGAAAGCGCTCAAGCAAAGCACCTTTACAAATCATAATAATTATCATTCGGTGCTGAAATGATAAAACCTCTTATATACTCATATTCTTGTTAGCATTACAACATTTAACAATGATGAAATGATAATTATTCAACTGAAGAAATTATATCTGATTATGTCACTTACTTTTTCAAAACCATTTCAGAAGCACCTTTAGTAAATACAGTATAGCCTGGCCTGTCAGGTTCCAAGCTTTTAATCACTGTACTCATTGATTTTCGTAAAGAATTAAATGTGAATACTTTCACTAAACTTTCTTGTGGCCAGCGTTCTCGGATATCCTCATAGTTTACGCCTAAATGACGTACAAATCCAAGCAAAGCACATTCAGTTTTATTCCCAAGTTGTTGTGGTAGCTCATTTGGTTTGTCTGGAATCTAAGACAAAAACACGAATATTTTTAAGAAAAAAAAAGAAACGCTGTTAAGAGAATTCACTTTTAGTACCTTTAAAAGATTATTTACTTCAAATCAAAGTGAATACCACTTGATAAAACAGAATTACTTATGAATTTTTGTTCATCAATATTTTATTAATTAGGATTAACTGTTGTTAATTATTACAGAATAATTTCGTTATTGCACATTGTTAATAATTATATGATAGTAAACTTTTCATTATAAATATTGTTCAGTTACTTTTTGATACTTTCGTGTATATTCAACAGTTATAGATCAGTTTCATAAATGAATCTATAACTATTATTACTAACATGGGTATACTGACTGATATGATGTATGTTAGTTACTTGTTGAATTGTTTGCAAAAAAATCGACGAATTTATCTTTAATTTCAAGCATATCAATGTTTAAATCTTTATCTCATTATTTTGTACAAGATATTCAGACTTTATCATCCAAACTAGTTATAAAATAAACAACATTTGTTATCATAAACTGTAAATTTACTTACAGTCACACGTGATGTATAACTACTATTGATTGCAACTGCATGCACAAATCTGTGCCCAATTCTATGATTTAAATCTTTCAATTTTGGTAGTTGATCTACATCTCGAGTTAGTTTGTCACCGAAATAACATTGAACAACTGTCATACGATTTGTTGTTAAAGTGCCTGTTTTATCAGAACAAATAGCTGTTGCATTGCCCATTGTTTCACATGCATCCAAATGTCGTACAAGATTATTGTCCTATAAAAGTATTGTTTTTATGGATATAATTTATAAATGCATATAAACAATGAAATACAAAAAAACTGATAGTATTATTCAGAAGTAAAATGTCAAAACATATAATCAAAAGTGAACTAATTAAACTGTACGGAGCTCAAACTGAAAAATGTACAAACTTAAGTATGAAACTAACAGAACAAGTGTTTCAGTTAAAGTACAACAATAAAAAAATTTGACATCAAATAGTACCTTAACGGATTATCCACCGTAAAAATGAAACTGTTAACATGTGAAGTAAATGAACAGTGGAAGCCACAATAATAAACAGTTATCTCAGAAGTGTATGAGATAACATTTGCGTTATATATGTACTTCGGTGTGGAGTTTTTTCATTACAGAAATATTTACGAACCAAAAAGCAGATCCTAGATTTCGAGGAAGTGTAAAATAGTAAGGAGAAACATACTCTTCATTTACAAAGGTTCAATCCCACTAACAAGATAAATATCCTACGTTAGTTCTAATATAGCCGTGCTTTGAAGCAAACAACTGGACTAAGTAGTAAGCTGGAAATATGCTATTTAAATAGATTGATAGCACCCATCTGAGCCCTCTCAGGAACTGGCGTTTCATCGGGGATTAAAACTAAATTCACCCTATTCTAGTGTCAGAAATAACACTACTGAAATATTTAGACTACGACTGACGTCACTGAAGACTAAGCTATTTTCACTAACCCGTAGATAAGTTGTATTCATTGTCATGTTGTCTAGTTCTTACGGATGACTGATCAAATTGAAATATATATTTATTGGGCTGTAACATCACTGATATTAAAAAAACCTTAACAATCTAACATCATGCTTACAAGATTTTTATTTAAAATAAAAATCGTATCAAAATTGTTAATGGATAACATCAACTTCAGTCGTTGGAAAGAAGTTGCATTTATACCTCAAAAGTTTTTTTCTATGTATAGCTAAAGTGAGTAATGCACTAGATGGAGTGGATGTCGATCTGTATTTTATCTATTGAGAATAGATATCACTTGCTTCATGTTGGCTAGTTTTAATAGTGGTTCCCGGTTTTGAATTAGTTTTACTAGAGTTTTTCATTATTTACATCGTCTATGCCTTATTCTAGGAGGATACCAGAAGATAAGTATCTAAAAACATACTTTCTTTGCCTGAATTATCTTTTTTTTCATAGTGAAGTATCAAATAGAATACACTTATAAACGGGTTCATGGGCGTCAACCTTTCAACAAAAATGAAAAAGGAATCCAATAAATTTTTAAAAATTTCTAAATCAGTGATTTATTTCTTGTCCAATACAAAAAGAATAAAGAAAAGAAAAAAAATAACACTAGTGTTGTTAAGTTTTATAAAAACCAATAAACAGTAGATAGTATTTTGTTCTCAGTAGAAATGCTTATTCTACTAACAAAATGGCTGCAAGCAGTATATATATATATATATATATATATATATATATATATATATATATATATATGGTGAAAAGAAACTTGATGGAGAAAAAAAACACAAGAACACTTGACGTGTATGAATTGCTGCTCAATAAATTTGATGACTAGTTTTAACAAACACAATTTGGTCTTGCATAATAAAGTGGTAATTTCAAGAGAGAATAAAGGATAGAGCGAGCGAGAGAGAGAGAGATGATGAAAACCAATGGTAAAAAGCAATCAACCGTGTGTTTTATGATTTCTTTTCCTTCTTTCTGATTAAAATGATATGCGTAAATTGCAATGAAATATGTAGTAATACAGAATAAAATTTGAAAAATAAATTTTTAAATGACAATTTGCATTTTTTGATGAAAAAATTTTTTATAATAAGAAATTTCATTTTGAACTCATTTAATCAGTAGACTAGATTGAACTGTTGAGATTGATTACTTAAAGCGATATGGTTGTTCGCATTGTCATTGAATGCACAATATTATTGTTTTCATATGAAGTAGGATTGTTTAGTTGGACATGGGAATAATTCATTGATTATATATGACATCTAGAAACGTGCAACGCTATTTGTTGTTATTAATAATATTAACAAAATATAAAAGGATTTACTGACAACAAGATTATCATTGTGATAAAATGATTTCAATCAATGAAGTATGGAATCGGAAACATTTAAAGCTGATTTTTATTTCGATATGATATCATCTAAAGGACTATTGAATGCTAAAAGTCACTTGTTCTTGTTTACGAATTTTAAGCTTGTCATGAGGCACAAAATACAGTGTCGGATCTTCAGACAGTGAGATGAGCTCTATATTTTTATGTCAATTGGTTTAAACCAAGTGGTTCTAACTTCAGTCAAATCATGACACTGCACGACTGTTTATTTTACCGCTCAAGTGATATTTGTCTTATTTGAAAAAGTTTTTGGGATTATAGGTACTGAATGCTCTTATTTTTGAAATGTCAAAGTATTTACTATCATCGCATTATTTTTGATAAAATGTTTGAATAAAAACAAATGAAATTATCCGGTAAATTAGTCAAATAAATCAATGGAATACTGTTTGGAATAACCTATGAAGTCCAAAATGATTCTATGTCATAAATGGAAAAACCAATTATTAATCCGCGCCTGCGATCTTAACATGTTTTTGAAACATTTATAGATACAGCTTGTCGAAAAACGGAATAGTTGGTAATAAAACGTGAACATCAGATAATATTATTATTATTCACTGCTCTCCGATTAAGCAACCAGTCAAGAATGATGTAAACTGATTTAGAAATGAGCTTAAATACTATTTGATTTGATATCTTTTGTTAGCTCATAACTGGATAATGCAACAGCCATAAAGTTAAGTGACTTTTAAAATATTTTAATACGTAAAAAGAATAATCAGTGCATATATGTAGTGAAAATCTTTTTATAGTATATCTAATGTACATGCATGTAACTCAATGTTAAATCTCATCTCTGGTCAGAGTAATATTTCACATACTGTCAAATTATTTATAACATGTCAAACATCTGTCTACTAATCACCATAATCTATTGTTTCACTAAGCTAGAAAATTTCTGCTATTAGTGTTTTTTTTTGTTTATTAAAGAAGCAATAGATTGAGAGGAAGATATAATAGAAAAGGAAAATATTTTCAATGTAAAACTGAATTAATTGCATTGACATTTTCAATAATTCTAATTCAAATAGTATGAATGTTGAAAATTTAAAAATAGTTTCACATTACAAGTTACTAAAATTGCCATGAGAGAGAACTGAAAAATTTATGCACGAAATATATTTTGTTAATTATATAGGTTTTGATATTTATTTCTGGACATTGAACATTTTTAAAGTCAGTGGGTGTTTTTAATGTTACAGAAAGTAATATTTAAGAAAAATCTTATTATAACCTCAAATTTTCAGAAGGTCGTGTGAATTAGTTAAAATTATTCATTAAATGTCTATTTTTATTCAGTTATTTTTTGGAAACTGCATAAGATGATGCATAATGATAGTATTTATTTAAATAAACTGAGTGACATGAAAATGAACTTTCAAGATAAAGTTTCATTGAAATCATGAACTGGTCAATGTTAGACCACATCTAGGAACCTTGAAGCATTAAAATGCCGCATGGGAATCATCTGTAATCTGCATCCACTATCCCCAATGTTGGAATCAAGCCTGGAATATCCGGTGTCTCGTGCCTACTTGTGACTAGCTTTGTAAGAAGATTCTCAGAGTTCTAGTGAGAAGCCGTGACCAGTGGAATTCCACCGTGTCGGATGTGAGCCAGTTACCTACTACAGACAGTGGATGAGGTCATGGACTGACTGAATTCAGACATCAGCACAACTGAATTACCGGTCAGTGATCAAGAGGTTAAGAGTTAGCGCGTGAGACCGAAGGACCCGTGTTGAGGATGCGGAATGCTGACAAGTAACATACTAGAATGAAACGGTCGTGCGCTGTGTTCAGGTTTCTAACGGTGCTTTAACAGTGATCGATCCATAACTTTAATAAAGCTCAACAACCTCTACAAACCCGTAATGAAGACAAATTTTGTCATAATCCGATTTCAGTTGAAGAATTGCTCGATACATCTAATAATCTTATCATAACAGTTCCTTCCAATTCGGTCATTTCGATTAACCAGTTCAAAAGTGAGGGTATATTTTAGTGGTTACTGTTTGTGACTTAAGTTTAAATATGTAAACAACTGAGTTACGAATCCTTGCTATAACATGGTACAAAAACAAATAATCATAACAGTACAACAACAACTTATCGTGAGAAGTAATTATTAAAATAATAAAGTATCAATAAAAATGAAACGCCAAAATTGATTGAACCAATACCGAAAGTATGTTTACAAAGGAACAAAACAATCTGCTGATGAGTCCCATACCGGGTCGAAACTGCCGTCCAGTGCTTCCAGGTTTCTAATGGTGGTCTAACAATGATCGATTCATGATTTCAATATACATATTACTATAGTTTCATGTTATCAAATTAGTTTACACCAACAGAAAACTTCAAATATATACAGTTCAATGTAAAATAAATTATGTCATATAACGAATAAAGTTATTCAAGAAAATAAAATTAAATAAATTAGGAAGGTTGAGGCAAAACGAAAAATAAAAAAAGGTGTTTTTCATTTTCTTTTTTGTCAGTCATTGTATTATTTATCCGATCATGACCTTGTTTCTCATTATCACCACTGTCATCATTATAAATACAGTTAACAAACTTGAAATGCTTTCTTTTCGCTTCAGATTAATGAAAAAAATTTCAACAACTGAGCAGGAAAACTTAAACAAATAAAATAGAAAATTGAAGAATTTAGAAGCTTCGAAATAAAAGACAAGATATTAAGCTTATCTTCGACTATTTCTCATCTTAAATTGTTGGATCACATGTTGACTAATTTAGTCTAATGATCGCATTACAACTGGTTGTTGATATACCTTAGTCATCATTTAATAGACTAGAAAGGCATGACATTAGTCAATAGCCAGTAATAAGTCAAAGTGTATACTATTTTATAAAAAGCATGCATTCGCAAAATAAATGTATTCTTCTCTCAAATGTCTTCTTTCCTTAAAAGTACTTTGATCGCGCTACTCTATGCTTCAACCGTAACTTCAGGGTGACACTTTGCTGCACATCCACAGCATACCACTTATAAGCTCCACCGTAAGTAGTCCACACCACAGTAATAATGATTAGTCGGAAACATGTTTCAAGCCAGTGGATTCATTCATAATGTCAAAAGACTAGATCCTCTGGGTCAAAATCCATCACCGAACATTAGACCAAGGAACCTGGTGTTAACCTAAATTTTTCAAGGATAACTAGGTCAAAATATGAACGATCTTTCATTTTTCAAAATTGCCTACGCCTTTCATCAATATTATCAAACTGGTCGAAAACTAACTAGATGTTTAAAATAGGAATAAAACATTCCAGATAATCTCAACTGTTTGTACCATCGGACAATAAGTTATTTAAGGTATCACCATCAAGTGAGTAGCAATCGTAATCAATAAATTATTTCAGACGAGAAAAGTGGATCCGTGAATCGGAGTGGAAATTTATACCTACAAAGTTAGATAAACTTTAGGCTGCTTATGTCGATTCAATATTTTACTGGATAGATCTTGTCACCACGTGAATTGTGATCAAGTAAGAAAGAGCAATAGATAGTCAAAGTAAGACAGGATTGTAACCGACGAAACCACTGATTGCCTGTCTGATTTGTATCAACGTGTAAAGTTTTTGAGAATGTATCAGTTAAAAGCAAACGAATAGTGGAGTTTTTAATGATCACTTCTATTCACAAATCTATCGACTATTTATTTTCTCTTAAATCTAAAACTATTGATTTTGTTTTCTAGATAAGTATCCGCCTTATCTACCATTTTATCTACGTTTCATGAAATTACTTCCTTTGCATATGAATAAAAGTTCAAGAACCTGGATCCATAGCATTTTATAGTGAAGTCCTACATTAAAGTGTTTATCATGCCCCATTTTATTCTTTTATCTGTCAACTGACGATTTAATAGCTTCTCTGTTTGATTTGGTTAGATCCCACTTTTCTGTTAAGCAAGAAAGATTAGCTTGGTAAAAGTTGATTGAACATCAATACAAAAATTTACAACACTATATTCCATTTCACTGGTCTGAACTGAACTTGTTTACCGTACAGATTGAAATTCCTAGGTTGAATTCCTAATAAAGTTAGTAAGTTGTGCATTTTTTTTACTAGTATTCTAAATAAACTCAGCGATTCATACATCCTTTCGCTAAAATTAAAACACTCAAGTCAAAGGACAGTAGTCATTTGTATAATATTCATCTAACAATTCATAATGATATCATTTATCAAATTTGAAAAAAAAAAACAAAAGCCTAAACTGCTTACCTTCATCATTTTCTTAACAGAATAAGCTAATGAAATAGTGACAGCTAATGGAAGTCCTTCAGGCACAGCAACTACAAGTACAGTTACACCAATAATAATAAACTGTACAAATTGATGTAAATGTCTGCCTGTATCCCATTGTTCTTTGTTAAAATAAAATGTATTCACAGAAAATTTTACAATCAATATGATTACTGTTAAACTGGCCACAACAGTACCTTTTGCAAATGAAAAGAAATGTCAAACAAATAAATTAAATAATGTTAATTTAATTCGGTAAAGAATGACAAATTTGGAATAATTAATAACCAAAAAAAACAGAAAAAAAATGTCTGACAAAAGTTAATTGAAATTCACGGAATAGTTAATCTTCAGTAAACCGTTAACATAAAATCATAAAATTTTGCTCTTTAATCCACTTCAAGTAGAAGAGACAAAAACAAACTAATTCGATTCACTTAGTTGTTTCAATTAAATATTAGAAAGTATATATAGAACTGTAAAAAAATGTTTGTGAATTAATAAAAAGTTAATCTATGCATCGAATTGTTTATCAAGTGAATGTATAAAAGTTTATCTTAGTCTACTACTTTGGTATTTCCTATGATCTCAAATCAAATGCTTCTCTGATAAAAGATGAGCATTTTGCCCCTTTTCTGGCAACCCTTAATAAGTAGTAACTCCGCCAGTAGAACCTTGGGGTCTACTGCCGGTCCCAAGCCCGGGTAAAGGAGGAGGGTTGGACATGGGGTTGGCGACCCCATTCCGTCAAAAACTAACTTGCCAAAAAAACGCTAACCAGAAAAACTAACTCAAACCATTTCAACTCTGCCCTGGGAGTTGGAAGAACAATTATGACGTCGCGTGGTGAAAGCCGAGTTCCCTCGGAAGTCATGGGGCTGATGCCTCTTCTGACAACCAGAGCAACCATTCTTTTAGGCACATGGGACGTTCGTACATTGTGGGAGACTGGAAGACTTTTTCAAGTTGCGGCACAAATGAATAGGTACAACCTCGAGGTGCTAGGCATCAGTGAAACGCATTGGACACAGGTAGGACAACGGAGACTAGCTTCAGGGGAACTGCTGTTATACTCTGGTCATGAAGAGGAAAATGCTTCACATACACAAGGAATTGCACTGATGCTGTCCAAACACGCACAAAAGGCACTGATAGGATGGAAATCTCATGGACACAGGATCATTAAAGCATCCTTCAAAACAAAGAAACAGGACATTACAATGAACGTCATCCAATGCCATGCACCTACCAATGACTACAATGACGATGATAAAGATCGATTCTACGAAAGGCTGCGGTCAATAGTCGAGAAATGCTCGCCAAACGATTTGACGATTCTTATGGGAGACCTGAATGCCAAGGTTGGAATGGACAACACTGGATATGAACACATCAAGGGACGACATGGACTGGGAGAAAGGAACGAAAACGGTGAGAGATTTGCAAACCTATGTTTCTTCAACAAACTAATCATCGACAGCACAATATTCCTGCACAAATGCATACACGAAGCCATATGGATTTCACCGGACCACACTACTCAAAACCAAATCGACCATATCTGTATCAACAAAACGTTCAGAAGGACCATGGAGGATATGAGAACGAAGAGAGGAGCTGATATAGGCTCAGATCACCACTCGCTGATCGCCAAAATGAAACTGAAGCTAAAGAAGCACTGGACAACGGGACAGACGACATCACAGAAGTTTAATACAGCCTTTCTACGGGATACCTTAAAACTCAACGAATTAAAGATAGCCTTCACCAATAGGTTCCAGGCCTTTCAGGATCTACACAATGGAGAGGAAGCAACATTACAGAACAATTAGAAAGCGATTAAGGAGGCAATCAAATCAACATGTCACGAAGTTCTGGGTCACAAGAAGTACCATCACAAGGAATGGATCTCTGTTGATACTCATGCGAAAATTGAAGAAAGGAGGAACAAGAAGGCAGCAATCAATGTCAGCCGAACATGAGCAGAGAAAGTTACCGCACAAGCTGCATACACAGAAGCAAACAGGCAAGTGGAGAAGAGCATCAGAGCCGACAAACGGAATGGAGGATCTAGCAACGACGGCGAAAAAGGCTGCAAGAGGAGGAAACATGAGACAATTGTACGAAACAACAAAGAAGCTCGCTGAAAACTATCGTAAACCAGAACGACCAGTGAAAAGTAAGGAAAGCAAAGTAATAGGTGGGTAGAGCACTTTAAGGAACTCCTGAATCGACCAGCTCCACTGAACCCACCCAACATCGAAGCAGCATCCAAGGATCTCCCAATTAACATTGACGCACCTACGATTGAGGAGATCAGTATGGCCATCAGACAAATCAAGAACGGCAAAGCAGCAGGACCAGACAACATTCCAGCAAAGGCAATGAAAGCAGATGTAGAAGCAACTGCGAAAATATTTCACATTCTCTTCAAGAAGATTTGGGATGAGAAACAAGTACCATCAGATTGGAAAGAAGGGTACCTGATCAAAATACCAAAGAAAGGAAATCTCAGCAAGTGTGAGAACTACAGAGGCATCACTCTTCTTTCAATACCAGGCAAAGTCTTCATCAGGGTATTGTTAAACAGAATGAAGGACTTCCTAGAAGCCCAACTTCGAGATCAACAAGCCGGATTTCGTAAGGATCGATCGTGTACTGACCAAATTGCTACATTACGGATCATTGTGGAACAATCAATTGAATGGAACTCACCACTACGAGAAAGCATTCGATAGCGTGGATAGGAAAACACTGTGGAGGCTTCTGCGACACTACGGTGTGCCTGAGAAAATAGTCAACATCATACGGAACTCTTATGATGGATTCAACTGCAAAATCGTACACGAAGGACAGCTAACAGACTCTTTCGAGGTGAAGACCGGTGTCAGGCAAGGTTGCTTACTCTCACCCTTTCTCTTTCTCATGGTGATCGATCGGATTATGAAGACGTCGACATCTGAAGAGAAGCACGGTATCAACTGGACAGTTAGGACGCAGCTGGACGATCTGGACTTCTCACATGACCTGGCTGTCCTATCTCACACGCAACAACAAATGCAAGAGAAGACGGCCATTGTAGCAGCAGCCTCTGCAGCAGTAGGTCTCAACATACATAAAGGTAAAAGCAAAATTGTCCGATGCAACACAACATGCACCAAACAAATCACTCTTGATGGACACGCCTTGGAGGACATTAACACCTTTACATATCTGGGCAGCATCATCGACAATCAAAGTGGATCCGATGCAGATGTGAGGGCGCGGATCGGCAAAGCAAGGGCTGCATTTCTACAGTCGAAAAATATCTGCAACTCCAAACAACTTTCGATCAAAACCAAAATCAGGATTTTCAATACAAATATCAAAACAGTCCTACTGTATGGAGCGAAAACTGGGAGAACTACCAAAGCCATAATCCAGAAGATACAAGTGTTTATTAACAGTTGTCTACGCAAAATACTTCGGATTCGTTGGCCAGACACCATCAGCAACAACGTACTCTGGGAGAAAACAAACCAGATTCCAGTGGAGGAGGAAATCAGGAAGAAGTGGTGGAAGTGGATTGGACACACACTACGAAAAGCACCTAACTGCGTCATGAGACAAGCACTCACATGGAACCCTCAAGGCAAAAGGAAAAGAGGAAGGCCAAAGAACGCACTACGCCGAGAAATAGAGAAAGATATGAGAGGAATGAACAAACATTGGACAGAACTGGAGAAGGAAGCCCAGGACAGAGTTGATTGGAGGGAACTGGTGGGCGGCCTATGCTCCATTGAGGGCAACAGGCGCAAGTAAGCAAGTGAGCACTTTTTGTTCCATAAACTGAAGTTTAGTTCGTGTATTGATTGAATCAGACTGGATCAATATATCGTTGTCAATAAAAGCTTTTGTGATGAAATTGTTGCGCGTTTCATAACAAGGCGATACCAACTCATCTGATCAAAATATTGAGAAAATGCTGTAACTGGAATTCCACAATTTACTTTATAAAACTCTTTATAGGGGCACCTCTTTCACTACAATTAATAATATTGTGATTAACAGATTAAGTGGATTATTCGAAGAAGTACGAGAAGTTGAATGTAAAATTTCTGAAAGTTGATATTTCATAACTAAGTGTAATCACTTCATCATTACTGACTTGAATCACGTGTCAAAAGGCAGCTTATGGTTAAGCAAGCAATAGTAATTAAAATCAAATCACTCAGAAATAACTTTATTACATTAATTATGCAAAGTGTTTAGCATAAAAGAATAGAGTTATACTGCATAACTCCCTTACTGACTTTGTCAATCAAATTAAACTTTATTGATATCATATTCAGTGTGAATTAAGTTTGTGTTAGAAAATATTTTCATTTTTATTTATTTATCTTCAATATTAAAAAGTTCCTTATTGTCGAGAATACATTTGACTGGCATTCACTTTTATTTATTGAAATAAATATTATTAAGGAATAAACATAACTGTATAAATGAAATTTCACGCAGTGATTTGTTTAATCTTATGATAACAGTTGTTATTTCTGTTTACTTTATGATAGAATTTTTAATTTTAGTTCAATGTAGTTTTAAGAAATCATTCATTTGGGAAAATTGAACAAACTGAAATCGGTAGATCAAGATATCCTTTTTTTTCATACACGTCTCTTACACAAAATAAACTATTTTACAGTTTGTTATCAACTAAAGTCTACAAGTGGATAGTTCTTTAGATAAGAAAAAATATGAATGTATTCAGTACAGTGTAACAATCATAACTCATTAAACACCTATAAATAAAAGCTTAAATTGATATAAAACAGAATTTCATATTGATGAAAATTGTATCCAAAATAAAGTAAGCTCTTTTTTTGTTTATAACTATCATGTTCAGTTGAACTGATGTGACTATGTAAAAATATGTCAATGAATGTTTAGTCTTTAGTTTTGTCGTTCCATATTATGACAAATACCGAATTATAAAAATAAAAGGAATAACCATGTAATTTTTTATGAGATATATCAAACGTTCTATTTTTTTTAACTAAATAGCAAGTTGCTACTAGTAACTTCGAAAATGAGTTTCGCTACGTAGAACGACACAATTGTAGCTTTTCAAGCATATCAAATACTTTAGCACTGTAGGTAATATTGTTTGAAAAAAGTAAACTTTGTTCTATGTAGAGTAGTCGAACGCATCAGTGGCATTTGATAAATGATCAAAAAAAGTCTACCCATTTTAGAACGTACTTACTCTGAATTCATTTTTTGTGAAAAAAAAAGCGCAGCAGATTATATTTTTTGGAGTGTTTAAATGTAACGGAATACTTGTTTAGTACTTAAAAAGACCTTTATTTAAAATACATTGAAAAGTTATTCAACTTACCCAGTTGTCCAATCAAACTAGCTAAACGAGTTAACTTGGCTTGAAGCACTGAATACTTTTTCTTTCTACGTTTACGACCTTTGGGTGCATCACTGCTATCTTCAGTAACCTCTGCATCTCCACTACCTAAACTATTACGTTGATTTAAATTATCTTGTTGATGATTTTCAATACGATCAGCTGTGGCTGCCAATTTATTTTTACCTGGTCCCACAACTAAAATACAAACAACAAAGAAGTAGAATAATTAGCTATTATTTAATGAATTCTGATCAACACAAATGCTTTTTATTCATAATCTACTACAGAAATGAAAATTCAATTGTAATGTTAAATCGATCCGTTTGTCATAAATATCATTTTAGAAAGATATTTATATTAACATCTGAACTAGTGAGACCCTATAGGAACTGAAAAGTTAGCTTTTTTCCGATTCCGAGGACTTAGCATAATTTAAAGATAAACTCTTAGATAATTACGAGACAAACTAGATTGATCCATGATCACACAGTACCATAATTAATGTATGAATACACATTGTAAAACATTTATTTTGTGGACATTTTTACACTTATTTTCATTCAAAAACATTCAATCTTGTTAAGTACATTGTGAGATCAAAAATTAAAATGAACAATAATTAAACTCGATTAAGTTATTTCAATCTAATCTGATTACTACTGAATAAAAATTTCTTTTCATCAAATTAAATAGTGAAGTAATTGTTTTTCATATTGACTCATGATAGACAGACTTATTGTAACTGTTGTGTATTCTTCTAAAAAAATTTTTGAACTTACAAACAAGAATCTTATCCACATTTATGATTAAAAATATGTATATTTTATCTGGTAGTCAAACTTTCAAGAAGCCTAACATTGAAATGAACAAGCACATTGACATAAACCCAAACTATACGTTCACATGAAAGAGACCAATCAATCACAAAATCAGTAATCGACCTGTAGTGACAGTTCATGTGACTATAATTAAAAATGAAAATGAAAAAAATCTATGGAAACAGTCAATTACAAACACGAAAATCGTAATAAACTGATATACCACCACCATAGGGACAATTGAAAAGTTGATTGATAAATAAAATAGGCGTTGACGATGTTCCAAAGAATGAAAAAGAAAACTTAACCAACCAAAGCACATAACTGAATAAACACAATGCTACCGAAATTATCTACATAAGATGTAGAACTTCTCCATTATTTCAATTGATGACAATCAATGTTTAGTTGATTCGAACTATAAACCTTAGTGTAAAGTATGTTTCTAAGATCTGTTTAAACATTCAAACACCTAGTTAGTGTAGCATTTGTATTAAACATAAAGTGTATATGTTAAAAAAAATTTTTGATGTCGTCGATAACCATTTTTCTCTTTACTACTGTTTTTTACAACATAATGTTACAGGTTTTTCTGAACAAAATCTACTGGAAAATATTTCGATTCAATGAAGATAGACATGTATACGCCATCTTTGTAGAATAGATTAAAAATGATTACTATTTTTACAAAATCATCCTTTTGAAGTTTAATATCAGCATAATTCTATTTCTCATTTTCTATTGTTGTTGTTTTTTCAAATACCGTCAAGCTAACTTAAACTGATTATTGACTGGCTACTATAACAACTAGTTGTTGTAAACACTTTGTATTTCCAAAAAGATGATAGATAAATTCACAGTTAAATACATCGATAATTTCAGGTAAGCATGTTTAATAATTATTTCATTACAATTTATAATAAAACATTTTCAGTACAAATAATTTGTAGGTTAGGATGAAAGTTTTTAACTTTTTTTATCAATAACATTTAATAGAGGATGAATTGAATACATTTTCTACAATTGTAGTAACTTTTATAATGAATATATGTATATATTTGTAGCTTTATTAGTAACTAGAATATTGTAATTCCATTTTACACAATTAAAAAGGTAATTATATGTTGTTTATATTTATATATTTTCGACAAATATTCAGCTAACAAGTTGCATATATTTCCTTACAAATTATTGATGCTTTGAATTCTCACACTAATTTTATTGCTATTACAAAAAAATAAAAATTTTACAGAGAAAAAACATTTTTATGATTAGTTTTTAGTTTTACGAGCAAAGACGAATTAATTTATGCGTGTTTTTAAATAAATTATTTTTGTGAAAAAATTTATACTTGACTTGAAAAAAATTATTGCGTATTTAAGAGATTTTTAACATAAAAACCAAATGAGCTTATTACGGACTATTTATTAATAATAATAATAATCATTATTATTATTATTGTTGCAAGGAAATTTTATCCAACTAAATAACTTTTATGAATTTTGGTGGATTTTTTTTCTGCTTAAAAGATTGATGATTTGATTTAGTTTCATATAATCGATAGAATATGGTGTTTTAAAAAAAATCTAATCTAAAGTCAATTCACCGACAAAAGAATTTAACTTTTCATTGCGAAAACAATTAGCAATTATTTATCACGGACAATCGATGAAGATTTCTAAGTATCGACTGAAGAAGGATATGAACCTCGTTGGATATCAGTTCAAAGTTTAAATGCTCTCTCACGAGACTGAAAGCTCTAGGTTCAATTACCGGATGCGCACTGTGAAAGAGTTTCATACTAGAACAAGACGCCTGTCTGGAGATTCCAGGATTTACTTGTATCTTTAGTAAGACCTATACAAATAGCTGTTTGCTAATACTCCTTATAGGTTGTTTAATTCTTCGTAATGTATAGTAACATGCTTGTCGAATGAAAAATTTAATGATAACGAGATTTCATCACGTAGTTGCTTCGAATAGAGTAGTAAAAGATATTACATTTGTCGTAAAATCAAATATTTTCATGTGATTAACGAAAATATGGGCTTGTACATGGTGCTTCAAATTTCGAGCACTGAATGACACCGATACTATAGTAATGTAAAATAAGAAATTGGAGATTAAAATGCTGAATTAATTTAATTCAGTATAAGAAATATAAAATTGTTGTTGTTGGTTATGAGTCCAAGTTAATGATATTATAAAACTTTTGTTAACAAAAAAACTAACCTAATAACTAGTTTTCAACGATCGATGTCAGTAAATTCCAGAGTAATTTTATTTTATAAATTAATATTTTCTCCTCAAATTATCTTGTTTACACAGAATGTTTTCTAATACTTTTCCTACTACTGTAGCATTTAGCTATTCTGATGCTATGTAACAAACTGAAACAATGCATAAATGTGTTAGGTTCTATTATGTGTATTACTGACTGATTTTATTTCAATTTTTTTTAGTCAAACAGTCATATTCACTGAACACTTACAAAAACGTTTTGTTGTAATTCAACAAAACAAAAAACACAATAGAGCTGCGTCATATTGTACAAAAGATGCATTTTTCAAATAAAGTCTTACAGTGATCAAATATTTACTGTTTCATAGTTAGAAAAGTAACAATATTTCAAATCTAACATATTTCGTTTTTTATTTGTTCAAGTCCTTTGACAGTTTCGATTCTGTCATATGTTCTCTTTTTACTCACATTTCAACCGATTTCGGTACATCAAGAAGGTTTCAGTTTTGCGACTATTTATTTCTGCCGATTTTATTATGCATCACTGTTGTTTAGACTTGCATATGGGAGTGTGCTTTTGCTGAGAGTGTGGGATAAGAAAGTAGTACAACTATGAAAAAACATTATCGAACCGTGAGGAGACAGAGCGTTTGCAAAAAGGGAGAAACACATATGTTTTCTCATCACTGATTCCACACACTAATAAGTGAGATAGAGAAACTAATATTATATATATATATATATATATATATATATATATATATATATATATATTTTGAAAAATTAACTGTGAAACTCTCTTTTGAACGAGACAAACATAAAAACTGGAATGAAATAAAAGTGAAAAATATCTAGAACATATTCTTATGAAAAGTAATCATTTCAAATAAGTTTTTTCATACAGATTTTTACTATGGCGCTTAGTCAGATACCAACTCTAACAAACCTGGAGAACAGAACATGAAACAGGATATTCGAAACAACAGATGGGGATAAAATGTGTAATGCTCTACTGGATTCTTGAATAAAGATATATAGGAAACGCCGATATTAGGACTTGCCTAAGATATAGCCAAACACACCTGTTGTCCAATCTACATTGGTATGGTAACGTTGAACAACGCCAGTTTAAATAGCACATGTAGTTTCAGAAAAGCTGATTCAAAATCCGCATTTGGTGCTTGCATTGACAATTCAGACAGATGATGAATCGAGGTCACTCAAACAAGACAAAATTTCTGCTTTATAAGAGCTACTATGCGATTGGAAAATAGGCGTAAACGCATGATAGAAACAAATCGGAACAGACAACTGGAGCAAGGTAAGCCATAAATAGGTATAAATTATATTTTGAGTTGGTGAAAAACCACAGTAAGCGAAGAAAGACTGGGGTGTTCATCGAGCACTCAGATGTAGTTTTCTTGGGGAGCCAGTCCCTGAACCTTTGACTTAAAGGCTTGTATAACAAGGCAGTGAAGCAGCATTAAGGGTGGCTATTCCATAAAAATTGATGACTAGAGATAGGTGCACACTTCATTCGATTCTGCAGGATCCTAGAGCTCATGTGCAAGATTGGTTTGAATCCAGGTTTTCCTAGCTCCCCTGTGTATCTACATAACCGGGTTAAGTAAAAGCCCAACAATAACTTGTTTTGAGGAGAATGATAAGCTGTAATTAGTGGAATTCAATTGTATTTTCAAATGAAACCGTTATTACTGACTTTATATTGAGTGATAATCATAATCAATACTCTGAACCATCATTGAATTTTCTAAAATACAAATACTGACAATATTAACCTTTAACAAACGACACAACCAACTAAAAAGCTAAAATATTCATTCATTTCCTTTTACATTTCACATGAAAAGTGGATACAATAGTTTTGAATTTCTGTACACAATATTTAAACAAGGGTAAATTTTTCTAAAAAGGAAAAAATAAAACGAATTTTTGACCTTGACGTTGAATTTTTAAATTAACGAGCTTTATTTGTCACATGAATTTCACATCCTGAGGATAAGGTCAAGTAAATAATAATGATAATGTAACAAGCATGAATAAGACATATACATTTGAACATCATCGAATGACAAAGGTATATTTATTCTTTTAAACATTATAGTCAAAAAGTGAAAATTACATTTCATTCAATATTTTCTGATTAGTTTATGGTAAGGACAGAATTTGATTTGTTGCTTTGAAGAGAAACATTTAATTGCAAAACGACTTAATAATATGCTTGTATATTTGCTGGTAGCTTGGTGTCAAATCAATACACCCTGAATTACCGTTGACTAAACTATCAAATGACCCTATAATGACAAATTCGCAGAAATTCGGAAAAAATTCATACTTAAGAAGGAAACTTAAGTTGTTCTACATTGTTTGATGTGAGATGCATCATAGTAGCAATTATTTCCCGTCCCTAGTCAGATTAGTACATAGTGGCGGTACGGAATAACTTTGTTTCTTACTCAAGAAACCTATAGAATTTGTGAACTATACAACTTATAGGTAGTGTACAAATACAACATGATTAGACTCCTTAAATCAGCTATTTCTCCCATAATAATATGCCTGTTAGATAAATTTCGTGGAATGCTATGAGAAAGCTGTAACTCATAAAAAACATTACTGGAACGTTGCGTTGACCGAAAATAAGCTGGAGTTCAAAGAATGATCCAGTCGATTTCTCAATAGTGAGATCTGAAAATTCCGATTTCTGTAGCGTATGTGGTCTTGTCTGTACACTTTGATGAGTCCCTGACCACGATGAAACTATTCTCCATCCCCATATGACATGAATTCAAGATAAAAAAAAACTGCTATAAAACTCAGCAGAACCAATGAAAGTCTCACTTCCGTAGAAAAACTGAATGAACGAATTCGATAAAATTAACATGTGAAGAGGTAGAACAAAAAAGAAGATATTTCCTAGGTTTACTCAGCGGTCTGATCTTCCATTTGGAGCCTACTGTTAACCAGCAAAACATTTTTTTTGTTAGCATTCATTACCAATGACACTATTCGTAATATCAATTTTTTTAGTTTCATCACCGTCATTTTATTATCAAAAGATTTGATGGCTCATTCTTATGACAGAATTATGTTCATACTGCTCAATAAACGAGCTTTGAAAACTATGAACCATGTAATTATTTAAACATATTTGAAAATTGAATACAACTATTTTTATTTTCGAAAGTTACATCTGATACCGAAATGCAATACTTTTATTATGTGTATCATTCAGTAATTTAAGGTTTATCCTCAAGATACAACACTCTCCTTTATGCCCTACACGATTAGTCAACATAGAATAAAATATATCCGAATTATAAATGAAGAAATTTAGGACAACCTCATTTTCACATCCACTTTCTAAATAAAATATACTTTCAATATAATCCAATTTTTTGTAGCGTATTTTCAAAGAATATTGAAGATTTATGCCTCGATGATTGATCGCTTGTTGATTTGATTTTTTTTTCAAAATCTCATATATGATAGTGATTAAAAATATATCAGATTGTGTAATTAAGCCGAGATTCATAATAATAATAATTCTCATTATCATTATTTAGATAACGAAGAAGAATAACGCATTTCATTTTTAAGTATGCTCATTTTTTTCATCCTTTTCTCTTTATATTTGTCTCGGTGAAAAAAATCGTCTAGAAAGGCCTAACCTTATTTTCCCATTAGCATATTATTGGGCCTGTTTAAGTTTCATTTTTTCTAAATAACTATCCATCTCAAACAAACGTATTTTGAAATAAAAAGTGGTGAACTCCATGACTACACAACTGAATATGAATGTGAGTATGTTGGTGCATGTATCTATGTAAGGCATATTTATCTTCTATAGCTACTTCTCTGTTTGTTTTTCGTATATCGTGCCAATGTAACATGTCTGCTGAGAGATCTTTTCATGTAGAAGTGAATTTTAAATTCTAAAAATATACTTTAAATATCGTCTTATTCTATCTGATAATATATTAATTTGAAAAAGTTTTGTCATTACAGCCTTAGAGTATATGCAAATATCCCGTTGGATGGTCAAGAACATGGTTTAGTTTGAAGTACAATTTTTTTGTTAACAACCTTACAGCTCAAAATTTCACTGAAGAGTTATTCACTTTATTCAGTGATCCACCACTGTTATCCATTTTACTGAAACACAATTATCCTTCATTCTCTTGTAAGAAACATTCATGTCATTAAGTAAATTCTTCTTTCATATAATGCCACTACAATCGTTATTATTAGTAATAATATATTTTCTTAAAGTACATTTTATTCCTACAAATTTTATCCCGCTTACTTACATTCAGTACTATAATGAAAACATTTTCCTCTGCTCACAGATTATATATATAAACACACAAACTGTAATTTATTAGCTGTAAGAAATTTCCATTTACTGATAATTATTTTGATTTGCAACTACCTCGAAAGGATATCATGCACACTGTCTCTCCATTATTATCTATGTATCCATTGGAAATTTTTGAAGTTTCTTGAGTATTATTCTAATTGTAAGAGAACCTAATTTAGACGGTCATTGAAAACCAGAAGACACCAGAAAACCCTTTCGTCCTAGTAAGCGACTTCTGAAACAATGCGCAACCATGAACAAGACAGTAATCTAACCAATTAGGTTTTAGGTTTCAGAAAGAGCACTTTAAAAAAATTTGATTTCTACTGTTTATAGTTATTTTGATGAATTATTCTAGTGTTTAAATAGATTAGTATTTTAACATTAGCAAATTTAAATGATATTATTATTATTATTATCAAACATATAAGTGAGCATAGTATAAAGGGTCTTCAAAACAATCTATTATCTCATTAAAAGTTCCACTTACGTTCAGATGTACCACTGAAAGCAACATGGCCACTGCCTTTTATTGAATGTCGATTACCATTAGGACTGATATATTTTCCATGTTGTTGTTTTCCGTCTGTATCGTAATGTTGTGATTGATTTGTACGTCCTTCAATTGGTGTCATTTCATTTGCATTAGCTAAATCAATTGGAGGTGGAGGAGCAGCTGTTGAACCGTCTCCTTCAGTTGCACCTAATAATGTAAATATTATACCAGCTTGTGAATTCACTCCAACAGCTGTAACAACCATTTTACCCGAACCTTCCATAACATGTGTACCTAATGAAAACAAAAACAAAATGCAACACTAAATTATTAGATGTTGAAAGATGTGCAGTGAATTTATTGTTTGTATAATAGTGTGAAAAAAATTTATTTTTTTAAGATCAAAGTAAACACACTTCATTGAAACGATATTAAAAATAAATTATAAAATATGGTGAAATGTGAATTAATTTTGTCTACTAGGAGATTAAAAGTTATTATCATATTTATTGAAATTAATAAACTTATAAAAGTGCGTATTCACGAGTCTTTAAGTATAATGTATGCATAAAAATGTCTTCAAGAGTAAAAAAGAAAATTCGGTTATTATATATATTTTTTATGAGATATACATATTCGACTACTGGAATAACAAAATATGGGATTTCTATGTAGTGTTGTTTGAAAATGAATACCTATTAAGATTTTAGGAGAAAGTATATCCGTTATGCTTGTCATTGTACTAAAAGAAATGGTTTACATCTAAACATGAATTTGAAATATGATTCATCTACATGAGTTTGGACCTCTATAAATAGTCATCTTTTTCTCTTTTAATATTGTGATAACTGTTGATGCATATCATCAGAAAGTATGCTACACAAACAGTGAAACCGACTTTATTCATTCTTGATGAATGAGCTAAAATGATCGTTCTGTGTCTTTAGCCTTATACAAGAACATCATTCAAGAAAAGTCCTGTCATCGATGAGGAGAGAAAAGTCACAGATTTACAAACTGTAGGAAAATGTCAATTGATTGTAATAAATTCATTATTAGTTTGTATCTGAAAGGCTAAACGAAAGTTAACAAATGCGATATGTCTTCTCGACTCTAATGCTAATTAATGATCATATAAAGAAAAACTGACAGAGATAATTTTTTAGACTAAAAACTATTTCATAAAAAAAATATTATGGTTAAAAGTTAGAAAATAAATGAAAGTTTGGTAATACAGATGCTAAAAATGGGATAACAAAATTTAACGGTACTGATCGAAATAGTTATAAAATTACTTCATTAACCCTATTGATAATTCAATAGATTATTTTAAACACTACTTTGTAGCATTTAAGTAGTATGGGAAGTAATTCAATTCTACAACTCTCACTCGAAGCACTAGCCCAAATCTTTTGAACAGATGCCCACAGAAAACAGTACTTCCCGCGATATTGTCACAACGTGCAGATATCCTCTGAAATTCCCATAACGATTCTCTTTTGAAAATGTTATTAAAACAGTCTCTGACCTCTTTAATGATTTTATCGTGACTGATTAAAAACATTTAAAAAATATTGGATCCGAAGTCAGTCACATGACTAACAATCCCATACAATCGATTTTTCTCACTTATCCCCAAATCAATAAACATATAAACTCTCTTTCGAAGCGTTATGAAGTAGATGGGAATAAGCACATTAGTTCCAAATATGTAGAACCTGACAGTCCATTATTTACTTACTTTGTCCATTCTTTCAGAAAACAGACAGTCATCTGAACTGTTGGAAAATCATCATCGCTCACACCAGAATTATCATACCTCTCAGTTATTGTTTTAAGTCGATCAATTAAAATAATAGTCCAGTCAAATAATAGTCTAGTCAAGTTATACTACTTCAGAAGCGTAAATGTAAATAGAAATATCAATTGCTGACTAAGTTAAGCATAAGTGATGCTTACATTAGACTCTCTGAAGTTTCTATATAAATATATGCACTGTAAGAACAGATACATACATGCATATGAATCAACTTTAGTCTTGTTAATAGTTCAATCGGTAAGTACATCCGTTTTAAATACTTCTACATTATTTTCAAAATTCTAACACTAACACCTGTTAGGAATTTTTAAACAGATGTCTGTATCATAAATTTCAAGTAATCCCAGTCTAATGGTAGTCTGATGTTTGTAAAAAAAATGAGCTTATCTATGTGCTAAATGTTAAAACAACATTATTACAATTACATTCTTAATGAAAATACTATTTTCATTGAAGTATGATTGTTTTTCACTCATAAATGTGTATTTCTAATTGGATTATTTGAAAATGAATCACTAATTAATAACTTCAGATTTTGGTAAGGCATCTTGAAATACATAATACATAAATAAAATATGTTTATTCCATAATCGAAATCTGCAAAATCTCTACACATGATTAAATCGATAAACAAACTGGAAATAAATATCAATAGGATGACATTTACAAACATGAAATTTTGAATGTAAACAATTCCAATAGCTTGTCAGAGAAATATCAAATCGAATCCACAATAACTTGTTATGACACAATTCTTGTACATTCAGAAATACAACAAAAACAAACAAATAAATCATCTGAGTGGTTTCGCAATGATTTTTATTACATGTTAAGTGACTGGTGCAAGTTAAAATGTGGCTCTAAACTTAAGTTTCACATTAGTTAGTAGTTGCAGATAAGGTGTAACCACACGCCTACTGGAACTAATGTACTTCATAAGAAGTGAGCTAGCACTATCGACAGAAGCTCGGTTGCTGAACAAACTGGACAGTGATACCATCTCTGTTTATAACATTGAACATAATGAGTATATTCCACTCGAGGAATCAATTCCATAAACAACAGGAAACGGCCTTTTTTAGCTAGCACGAAACGTAAGTACCGGAATCACAAACAAATAAAATCAGTCAAATAACACAAAATCGAAATGCTTTCGATATCGAATCACTTACACTAATACTTAAAATCAACATAACAGGTGGAATGAGATCAACGATAACTACACAATTAGCACTTGGTAATCAAACAGTAATTCACTAATAATTAGCTTCAGTACGAGCATGTAAGAGACACTAGTGATTCACTTAAATCTTCCTAAATTTCATTTTATCCTTCTTCGAATTGTTTGTATAGTAATAGGTTTTTTTATCTTCAAGAAATGAAAACACTTTGAAAAGTATTCTGAATTGAACAATATTGAATATCTCCTTTGTCTTAACATATTCGGTCTCTTAAAAAAAAATATTTAACAATCAGTGAAAAACTTAGTCTTCACAAACCACTCAATTAACTATTTGTTTTGAGTTTGAAAAATATTAGTGATTTGCTTTTTTTTCTTTCTCTAATTAATTTGACCTTATCAATCATAATGACGTAGAGTTTGTATGATTTAGAGAGAAAAAGTAAAATAAATCAGTATAAAAAAATAATTAACGATTCTGAATCAAAAATAAATGGGCCACCTAAAAATATAAGAGATTAAATGTTGACTGAAAACTAAAAAAGAATTAGAAATCTGTTTACAATTTCGTTCAAAAAGTATACTTCGAGTGTTTTATTTATACAATGAGGTCATATTTCGTAACAATAATTTTTTCTCAATATGTTATAATCAAGCTTAGAAATGCGTATACTGTTATGTATCACATGAAAAATTAAATTTCTGAAAATTCATTATTCATTAGTATCCTTTATAAACTATTCCAGAGACTAATTAACTACATTCTGAAAGATTACTATGATATACTTATAATTCAAATGTTTTTTGATAAGTACATAAAAAGGTTTAAGTTTTCATTCCAAAGAATATAAATTAATTTTTACTTCAAGACAAACAACACCATGCAACGAATAATGCTACATTGATTAATTATTCTCTATATATCTTGTAACGGGTGTTTATTGTTATAAAATAAAAAAGTTTGTGGCGTTTTGTTTAACATCATTTAATTTTAAAGGAAACAAACACTAGAAAATTGTGTAATAAATATTAGTGATAAGTTATTTCGTAGATCAGTTAAAGAAAACCTTGAGTTGGCATGGCTAGCAATAAACAATTCAAACTATACGAATAAAAATAGGAGTACAGTTCAAAATGAGATCACAATTTTATTTGATTGTGCTTATTATCTAATGTGACATAGAAATGTCATCTATCAGAGCAAAAGATTGATAGACAAAACTTTGGTAATTTTAACAATTAGGAATAGTGATATATTGTAAATTTGCAGCATGAGTAGAATATTTCCATGGAGTTTTTCGTACTTTGAGCTCATAAACCAAACCATCAACAAATAATGATATTTTATGATGAATTATACATCAGTTTCAATTGTAATCTCTCTACAACTGTATCAAGAATAAAATCCTCTTGTTATCCACAGCATAGACACTAAACGGTTACAACATATCACAGTATGATCCCAAATAATGATAGACACTAACCAATTAAGATTCAAATTTGTATTTTCAATAAATACATATATTCACGAAATAATCAGAAACAAAAGAGAACAAACTCTAGAAAAAAAAACTCTTGAACAAAAATTATAAATGGATTGAAACAATTGTTTTGAAAAAAAACAACACAGAAAATAAATTGATTTTTTTTCCATTCAGGAAATTGTTTTCCTTTGAAACATTCATCCATTTAACAACACACACACAAAAAAAAAACGAACGGAAAGGTACGAAGAAAAAAAATAAAAACAATAAAAAAATGGATATAAATGAAAAAAGAAATAGAGAAATTACACATAGTTTCATTGAAATCGTAATTAAAAAATACAAACAAATAAAGAACAATTGTTAAATCAGAAATTTAATTAGAAATCATTTGTTTCATTTGAATGGGAAGAAAATTCGGACAAAATGTTCACCGAAGAAAACGACTTGAAAATTATTTTTATTTTCAGTATCTATTAGGCTAATATGCTAGATTTCAGCATTATTAAACATAATCGTTAATATGTATGATGTATAGACTGGCACTGCAGAGAGAATAATACTTATGCTTTTTTTCTATTATTTTAAACAAATCAAATATGTTCATCGATTAGAATGAATAGACAAAGATTAGGTTAAATTTTTTTATCGTATACATTTTTTTACATGATAAGTAAACGATAATGGCACTTTTGTGAATATTGATATCAGAAAGAGGTATCATTGGAACAAACACAAAACGCTTCCAGTAGAAGTAGATTTACCGCTGAGTCTTTTATCAGGTATAATGTGTTTTCGTGTATTGAATTCT